GAAGGTCATTTCTGATTTGCAATCTTGTTTCTCTCAAGTTCATGTGCCCTGTGCCTAAGTGGAATCTCCTTCCCCTTTCCCTCTTCTTCCTCCATTAACTACCACCATTTAGCAAAAACATCAAAGAAATTAAGCTTTTAAAACCTAACCCATGTAAGAAATGGCAATTACAAAGCTTAAAACAGTATGTAAGAATCAACAGTAGAAAAGCCCTATCATTTTTACATTAAGGCATATCTTCTCAGATTGCCACAAATCCCTTATTATTAATTATGTCTACTTATGTCTATAAATACAACAAAATCTGTATTCAATTAGCATGAATTAGCAACTTTTAAGCAGTTCCTCTTTTTATATTCAACTCTAGACACAAGAAAATCTCTTTGGTCCTGATGGGAAGTTATCTCCAGAAATATTACTGTAATTTAAAAACCTTTAAACTATGCTTCTGATGAGACTGAATATTAAGCAACTATTATAAGCTTTAGTCTACCTAAGAGACAGCCTACAGATCAATACCCATAAAAATAAAAAAACAAAGGAGAGATACAGCTTTTAAACTAATAATACTGTTTACATTAATTGTATTTTTGGAACCAAACAATAGTCATAGAAGTTTTCCAATCTTTACACACATGCTTATAAAGAATAAGGTTATCATAAATCCCAGTTTACATACTCTGTCCCTAATATTCAAAAAGAGTTTTCCTAGACCAAACCAAATAATCAAAAATCTGTTTTTGGTATTGTAGAAATATCCTTATTAGCATGAAGTAATGTGTCAGGACCACTGCAAGATATTTTCTTTTTTTAAAAAAATTTCACTGAAATAACCTGGCTTCTTCAATAATCCAAAGAAATTTCTATCAGGCCTCAGTGCCAGGAAGCATTCTTTCCCACTGCAACTACCTTTTTGATTGATGGACATATCCATTGCTATAACTAACCATATTACCTTGTGTAGCCTACCAGTTTCTCAGAGCTGATTCATGTCCTAAATGTACACATTTTTGGATGTAACTTCATTTTGACTAATTTCATGCAGAAACAAAACTTCCCCATTTAAAAATACTGTACACTATTTCATAAATCCTTTTGGAACATGGGGGGGGGTAGAAACTAAATAAGTCTACTAGGATTTCTACCTGTACTTAGCTTAAGTGCTTCCTTGAAATAAAAATGATCCTATATCATGGGCCAATAATAAATTGCAATAATTTGCAAGGAAAAGAAAGATGTTCTCATATCCCTATTATATAACCCAAGGTAGACTATCAACTATCTTCCAACTTTTCACCAGCTCCAAATAGATCCAGGGTTATAAAGGTTTTAGACTTCTTTGGAACAAGACCTGGATGGCGGGGGGAGTAGGGGCACAAAAAATGCCACCTTAGATCTTTTTTGAGAATCAGACAAAAACTATAAATCCAGGAAAGTACAAATTATCACAAATTAATATTTACTAGGGGTGGGGGAGATAAATACTCCCAAGCTCAATAATAAACCTAAAGTTAAGAACACCTTTCTGGAAATGTCAAGCCTAGGTGCTCTTTAGAACTTAAGAGAAAATTTTTGCATATTATACAATTTTCACGTAAAAAGTTTCAAAGATGAGTTTGAGATCAGGAATATCTCTTGGCTCACATTATTTACTCTGTACGTAAAGTAGTAAACTCTACCTCACTCAGCCTTCTCAACAGGTTTACTTTTCCTCAGAGCACCTCCGTTCACCTAACATACATTTATTATCTCCACTGACTTGAATGGAAGCTCCATGAGGACAGGGACTTATTTTACTCATGGCTGTACCTCTGGTGCACAGGAGGCACTCAATATTTTTCAATGAATTTCCTAAAGGAGATTCCACTCACTATAGTGGAATTGGCAAACTATAGCCTACATGCCAAATCTAGGCTTCCACTTGTTTTTGTAAATTTTCCTGGAACTCTGCCATGCTCATTCATTTATGTATTAGTTATGACTACTTTCATACTACAATGGCAGAGCTGAGGAGTTGCAACACAACCACATGGCCCACAAAGCCTCAAATATACTTCCAGGTCTTATATAGAAAAAGTTTGATAGCAGTTATTTGGCCCGTATTTCCCAAGCTAGATTGAAATCACCTTGGGACCAGAATTAACTCTTTATTCCTTTTTACCTAGAACAGAGCAAATGTTAAAAATAGCTATCATTACAGAAAAAAATACAGATTTTCTACTTCCAGCATATTTTCACACAGTTAAATGCAAAGCTATTGTGTTCCATCATCAATGCATTTATAGTAAGGCCAAAACCAAAGAATACCTGTATTCAATGACTGGAGAACAAGTAGAAAAAATTTGGATGCTAATTAGTACCAACTTTCTGATTCAAAATAATAACCATGTAATCTTTAAAATGTGAATGCAACATAGCAATTAGAAAGTTCTTCCCTTGTGTTTCAAGTGATTTTGAGGTGAACCATGGTTATTTTCTCAAAAGTCAAAAATCACTTTAATGAAATACTTTTTATGTTAGGCACATTATGGGTGCTCAACAGTGGAGTGAATAGATCACTCTCTCACAAATAATTATTCTGCATATTACCTTCCACAAATTACAATTACCTGAAAGGGAGCATCACGATTCATGCCCCTTTGTCAATTCTAAGATAGGCTCAATATTTCTTTTTTTTTTAATATTTTTTTAGTTGTCAATGGGACTTTATTTATTTATATGTGGTGCGGAGAATCAAACCCAGTGCCTCACACATGCTAGGCAAGCACTCTTCCTACCACTGAGCCACAACCCCAGCCCCTTAACATTTCTTAATTCTTTAAAAATATATATACTTTTTGTCTCTGAAAATTTTGATTTGTATAAGTATCATTGTTTCTGAAAGCTCAACATGAAGTGGATACTTCTGGGCATATGTTCAGCCCACTGCTTACTCCAAGTGCAGAAGTAACCAAACAAAATGTTTTGTTTTTCCATATTATAGGATAATGTTATCTGACAATAATGTAGTTTATCCACAATAAAATGGAGAAGGGCTAGGAAGCTCAATGAATTATCTTTGCTAAGTTATTCTAAATAAGCAACAATATACACAATGATATACAATCATTTGAGAAAACTATTTTTTATTTAGAAAAAAGTTTACACTGGTAGAATTCAGTAGATTAAAAAATTCTCTTTTAAAAATGTCACTGTGAAACTTTTCCAGATGAAAGTTCAGCAATACAAAGCTCCTATAGCTGTAGAATTAAAACACAATTAACTTTTGACACCCCCCCCCCAAGATTTGTGAATACAAGGAAAAAATGGCAAGGGATAAGTGAGCACTGTTACCTTTTTCTTTTTTAAACAGGTTTTAATGTACATGTTCTATGTAAAATGATTCCTAGGCATTGCATAAAGACACTCCTTCCAATTTAAGTAACTAATATTAAAAACAGGCCAAATAATAAATTAAAACCGAGCTTTAAAATGAGGTAAATTCAAAATGGTTCAATAATTGTTTATTTTCAGTTTCAAACAGTAAAAAGGAAGCATTTAAAATGGGGGAGGGGGGAGACTAAACTCAGGCAATATTTAGTTAACCAAAAGTGAAATTCTGTACACATGTAACCTTATTTGCTTGTTGGGAAGTGTATGCAGCACATTGTGCTAAAAATATGGAACAATCAACACTTTCAGCCATTACTGAAAATAAACATGTAGAAATTAAGCAACAAGTTAAAAATACAGTAATGCACAACTCAACAATTTTAGGTTTTCCACATGGAGCAATAAAGCAGATAACTGAATAATTTAAGGAGATGCAAATGGGCCCTCTTCATTCATAATTCTCGGCAATCTACTCAGGAAAATAAATTTCTGGTCACAGATGAATAATTTCATTCCAATCTCACCTGAAAGAAACAAAGTGATTATATTGATAGATAAGAAAGGAAGGAAGGAAGAGAGGGTATGAGGGAAGTCAAAGGAAGAGGGAAGGAAGTAGAAGAGAGGAAGCAAGGAAGGATAGAAAGGAGGAGAGTGGGCAGGGTGGGGAAGGAAGGTAAGGAAAGGAGGAGGAAGGGAAGAAAAAAGAAGGAAGGAAAGAAGTTTAAAGAAAGAAAAGTTAGTGAGTCCCATCAATAACAAAGACTTGAACTGAATTGCCAGAAAAGGATGAAAATATTCATGTATTTCTCATTGTCCACTCTTAGAAACCATTTAGACGGGCATAGTATGACTCATTAAAAAAAATACAACACTGAACAATTTGTGTATAAAGGAGTGGTAGGGGTTAGGGAGGGGAAAAAAATAGCAAGAAGTAAAACATTCCATGGGGCAAGCAATAGCTTATCAAAAATGAACAGAATACATTTACCAAAGAAAAGGAACCTATTTTACATGATTAACAAAAAAGAGGAAAATAACATCACATTTTTCACAAGGACACAATTTTAATAATGACTTATATTAAGATGCAACGTCTGCTAAATTATAAAAATTGCTTAAAAAATATATTGACTCAATTATACTCATTTCCTTTCCTTTATGTATTGACATTTTTCAAATACTGCATATTGAAATAAATTCAAAACATGATCATTACAACATGTGGCAAATAACTTCATATCTGCCTAACATTTGTTCTCAAATTTTAAACTAATGCTTAACGCATTAAACTTTATTGATGAAAATACTACATTCACATATTTCATAAAACGAGAGCTAGAAGGGGCCTTAGAAAATAATCACACTTGCATGAAATGCTGACAAATAATTTACATATCATTTCTACACAGAATTCTGTTCACACCATGTATTAATCTTGACATTATCAATTATAATTGTGGATACACTGATGTTGAACTTACAATTTAATACTTAAAGTCATTGTTCCTGTTCATCAACTGATGAATAGATAAACAAAATATGATACACATTCATACAATGGAATATTATTTACCCATAAAAAGGAATGGAGTACTGATACATGCTACAACATGGATGAATCTTGAAAACATGATGCTAAGTGAAAGAACCCGGACACAAAAGGCCACAGTATTGCATGATTCCATTCATATGAAATGTCCAAAATCGGCAAATCCGTACAAAGTACATTAGTGGTTTTCAGGGGTTGGAGGAAGGGGAGAATTAAGAGTGACTGCTAACAAACATGGGGCTTCTTTTGGAGGTGAGAGAAATGTTTTGAAATTAGACAGTGGTGATGATTGCACAATATAATGAATATACTAAAAACCATTGAATTGTACACTTTAAAATGGTGAATATCTCAATTTCTTAAATTGAAAAAAAGGTAATGTTCCAATAAAGAACATTATGGTGTCCATATGACCATAATTAGTAGAATAAGAAATGGGTTCTCAATCATGAAGACATCACATTAGGAGAATTACTAGGCAAGGGAAATTGTAATGACATACTTAAGGGGACATTAAAGGATAAAATTCATGTTGATATTAAAACATGTAAAGAAGATCTTTTCCAGGAACTGAAATTAAAATTTTTACAAGAAGCCAAAATCCTCAAGTGACATAATCATCCCAACGTTGTCAAACTTATAGGAGTTCGCACACAAAGACAGCCTATCTACATCTTTAAGGAACTGGTTCCACGACGTGGTTTCCTCTCCTTTCTGAGAAAGAAGGATGAACTAAAATTCAGTTAGTTAGTGAAATTTTCATTAGATGCTGCTTCTGGATGGCGTATCTCAAGTAAAAATTGTATGCACAGGGACCTTGCTGCAAGAAACTGCTTGGAGGTGAAAATAATGTTCTGAAAATCAGTGACTTTGGAATGTCTCATCAAGAGGATATTGGTGTATATTCATCTTCTGACTTAAAGCAGATTCCCATTAAATGGACAGCACCAGAAGCTCTTAATTATGGGAGAGATCGTTCTTAGAGTGACGCATGGAGCTTTGGCATCCGCCTCTGGGAGACCTTCAGCTTAGGGGTCTGTCCATTCCCTGGAATGACAAATCAGCAAGCACAAGAGCAAGTGGAAAGAGGATACTGGATGTCAATCTCTCATCAGTGTCCAGAGAATATTACAAAATAATGCTGAAGTGCTGTGATTACAAACTTGAAAATTGCCCCCAAGTTCAATGAACTTCAGAAAGAGCTAGCTATCATCAAGAAGAAAGTCACATAGCGATGAAACAGTGCCAAATTCAGTCTTTGGGACCCTATCTTCATCAGAGTTAATAGTTTTCTTCTCATTAACATTGAATTTATATCACATTACCTGCAATATTCTTTAAAGTTTATTTTTTAAACTAACTTCTTTAAAAAAATGTGCCATTTTAACCACTGTAAATAAGAAAGCATGGGTTCTAAATGTAAAGGGTCACAGAGATTTGTCTTTTTCACACCTAGAATTGTTGATGTTTCTCAAAAACATTGTCTCCTTCAGGCTCATTTCAGTCTGCTGTCCTTCACCACAGACATCGACACTATATTGACTACGAACCGTACTGGTAATACCACGTTTGTAGGACACATTCAAATAAAAGGTGGCCTTCTACCCCACTGAAGCAGGAATACATTTGTAAGCATCATTTTACACTGGTAATTATCTGGACTTCCTAGGTTTTCCTTTTTGCCTGAAATAGGTTCTGTATTAGGAAGGTTATCATTTTCCTATGTTCCACCATGACCTCCATTAGGAAATCAGAACACTATGCATGAAAAGTCCCTTAAAGAGCACTCTCTCAAAGAGTTGAGGCAGTTGACTCTAAATGATGTTCTAAACAGTTGTGACAGAAAGAGGCAAGTTTGGAAAAGTAAGGTGGTTTGGAGAAAAGGGTAGGTGATCAAAGTGGAGAAGGGAAACACAATCTTATCAGAGGGATGCCTTTATAAATACATGCTTATTAAGTTTATGGTCAACTACATCAAAAAGGTCCTAAGAAATGTCTCAGTAGTTCATAGATTCCTCCCTAAATAGCCGTTTTGATGGCAACAAAAACATTTTAAGAGGAACTATAAAATACAAATCCACCAAAATAATACCTTATTCATGGTTAAGTGTCTTTACCTCAAAGAAGGCATCCCAGAATTGTATTCCCTGCATTTGTATTAGTGTCTGAAGCTGTCAGGATTTCATAATCCGTGTGTGTGTGTGTGTCCCCATCCCCCCCACACACACACCAAGTAAAAATACATATACAAATAAAGTCAACGTTTAAAACGCCAAGTGAACATTTATAAGGAAGAAAGAAATTATAAGGAGAAAGACTTATAAGGAGAAAGACTTAGGGACAGCCATACTGATTCCACTTTATACCTTCATTTGCCCTTATACTGCAACCTAAGAACTCTCATAGCAAACAATTACTGAGATGTTCCATGTAAACAAAATGTAACAGAGTTAAAACAGGCTCTGTTGAGATGAATCTTGACTGGATCCAGGGATGCCTCTCAGAATAAATGTGTGCAGAGGACACTAACACTCGGGCAAAGGTGGCACAGGATCCATTTATAAGGGCTCATACCCATATCCAGATGTTAAAAAAAAAAAAAAAAAAAAAAAAAAACAGCACCTTAGTGAATATTTGACTACCTTAAGAAGGAGTAAGGAACAGAAAGTTCCTCCTGCCCTCAGTTGTGTACTGTCTATGAATACCAGTACACAGAGCCCATATCCAGTACTTTTTAAAAGTATAAAGGATAATGCAGACAAAACTGTTTCATGTCTATCATTTCAATCTCCCAACAATAATTTCAAGCATACTTAATGATTACTACAAAATGAAATAAAAGCATAATAAATCTGCCCTCAAAATATGTTGCAACATATAAAACAACTTCTTTTTAATTAGTATGGTTTCCCCTTCTAATAAATAGTGTAAGTAAACTGAACCTACTTTTGATGGCCAAAAAATACTAAAGTGTTGCTCGTTATCAATGTTCACACTAATCCCAGAGAAAACACTTACTACCTCTGCACACAGCTTTCCATGTAAAGTGAACAGAGTATCTAAAACATCCCAGGTAATAAAGAAAACTACTTGGTTGTTTGATGAGAAGGAAAAGATACATAGCCTCTAACAAAATCACAATCTATGGAGGTATATATGCATAGGAACCAGTGACTAGGACAAGCTCACATGTAAGCAATGGCTATCCTAACATACTCCCTACCCCAGTCCACATTATCACCATCTAGGAATAGGCCTTAGAATGGCAATACAATCTTAAAATAAGAAATCTGTGAGAGCTTAGGAAGTAAATTTCCAAGTATGGACTTAAGGGGGGGGGGGATTATAAAAATCACCTGTCTATAGGGGCTATATAATGAAAACAAATGAAGTGAGGTGAGTGCGGACTGACTGAGGTGAACGGTTTTAACTGTGGGCATTGGGGGTGTGCAGGGTGGAAGGTCCTAGCTCTATGTGGGTTGTACCTAGGGAGATCTGATTGTTGCCATGCAGAAATCAGGACACAATGTTATCAGATGTTCTAATTCTTCAAGAAAATCTGAAATCTGGATTTGTCAAATCTTCTGATTGCTAAATTAAACTAATGTTTTTTAAAAAAATTAATTTTGTGTGAGGCTAAAGAGGTAAACAGCCACAATTTGACTAGGGGCTGAGAATTTGCCAATCTTGGGTTCAAAAGATAAGAGTTTGTTTATACATATGACAATGGAGATGAGAATTTAACCAACCAAATACACTTGGCCTTGTTGGAATGGAATGTTACAGAAACATAATAAACTAAACATACAGTTGCATAGGATATGAGATGAGGATTACAAATATAAATTAAAATTGAGAAGACAAAAATGGCTTTGCAGGACAATCTTAATAGGCAGGAATTTATTAATTTATCTTATTTGTTTATTTATTCATTTGGGTGCTGGGTGACTGAATCCCAGCACCCACTTGGGCATTTTATCACTGAGCTACCTCCCCAGGCCCTTTATTTTTATTTTGAGACAGGATGTAGCTAAGTTACTTAGGGTCTTGCTAAATTGCTAAGGTTGGCCTCAAACTTGTGATCATCAATAGGCAAGAATTTTTAAAGAGTAAGGTAGAACAAAAGGTTAAATGCAAAGCTGCTAATGTTCAAGAGACTCAATCAAGGAAGGAAAGGATACATAGCCTCCAACAAAACCACAATCTAGGGAGGTAGATAAGTAACATACTTATATATGCTTATTAAATGAAATTGGACAAAAACTTTACAGGTAACAAAAGATGCAGCGAACAGGCAGAATTTGCAACTAAAAATAGCAGTCAGAACAGGAAGGCAGACTCTGAAAGGAATATAATCGGGGTCACATTTATATATTTCTTAGTTCTAATGTGATTATTTCAATGTTTCTAAAATCAAGGTGATGGATACAAATCAATGATACTTCTCTAGCTATTCTCCTAAATTGTTCTAAAAATCAATAATGAAATCTTAAAATTAGTGACATCTTTTATGACATATATTAGCAGCTCTCCTCTCTGTAGAATAGAAAATAAATTTAAAGTAAAGGCAGTAGACTTAGAAGCATCTTAAAGGTAGATGATGCCAATCAAAAATGATGAGATTTCTGAAGGAAAGGAAAAAAAGAACCAGAAGGATTTGCACAATAGCTGAATGAATCCAAATAGAAAGAGGCAGCCAGAAAACAATCAAAAGACACAGAGGAAAAGGACAAATCAAGAGACTAACAAAAGTTAAGAGTTTATCCAAGAAAAAAGTATATACATAGTTGTCAGCAAGAAAACTGAAGGAGCTACATGTATCTTTACAACAACATCTGAATCTAGAAGCTTTGCTACAAGATCAGGAGCCAAACATACAGCTTTAGCCAGCTTTTTCATGACTTTCCTCCAGAGGGATTATATAGACAAGTAAAGTACAAATTCATGGCCAGTATAAGAACAACTCAAATCTTTAGCACAATCCTCACATACAAAATAATACTACTTAGGAAATGAATAAAAAAGATGTATAAAAGCATGGTGAAAGTTGTCAGTGACAATGGTGGTCCCATTACAATGAAGATCTGAGAAGTAGGATTTTTGTTTCTTTAATGGAGATCCTAGGTGAAAGCAAAATGCCAAATTAAAAGAAAGATTAAGATGGTCAGGCATGATAGCATATACCTGTAATCCCTGAAGAAAGAGTATTGCAAGTTCAAGGCCAACCTCAACAACTTGTGGGACCCTCATCAACTTAGCAAGACCCTGTCTCAAAATAAAAACATAAGGGAGCATGGTGATGCTTGCATAATAATGCCAGTGATTTGGGAGGTCAAGGCTGGAGGATTTCAAGTTTGAGGCCAGACTCAGCAACTTAGCCTAGAGTCCCTAAGCAATGTAGTGAGACTCTACCTCAAAACAGAAAATATAAAAAATAAAATAAAATGTGCTGTGGATATAGCTCAGTGGTAAAGCAAGCCTGGGTTCAATCCCCAGTACCAAGAAATAAAAATAAAACAGACTGAGGATTTGGCTCAGTGGTAAAGCATGCCTGGGTTCGATCCTCAGTAGCAAAACAAAACAAAAGGTTAAGAATTAAAATAACAAAGTTTAAGTGTTTGAACTAAGGAAAGGAATTCTAGCCCCCTCCCCCAGCAAGGAAAACAGCTGGGGTGGGGCAGAGGTGAAGGATGGGCAACAGTATTTCTTTTACAATCTTCTTAATTAAAAAAAAAAAGCTAGTAAATTTTATATTCTCTTTCAGAACTCTTGTTTATCCTGGTCTACTACTTAGATAACAAACACAAGCTAACAAAACACAAAAGGCACACCACTATCCGGAGGTCACCAACCTGACAACCTTAAATCCCTGCTTTGCAGCCAAAATAAACATGACAAAACCCACACCCTAAAACCTTTATTCTAATACTGAACTGGCTCTCAGACATTTCTCATTTATAATTTAAACTATGAATAACCCTGGTTATCTATCTGGTTGCATTAAAAAAAAAACTGCAGCAGCCAATAACACTAGGAGCAAGGTAGAGAGAACAGGTATACTTAATACTATTAGGACAACTAAAATGGGCAATAAAAAAGCACAGTCAACAACTTCAAGAATGTCTCTTTGGAACTACTAAATGTAGGGGGCAAATCACCCTACAGACTTTGATAATCCTACAGTATCACCAAAAAAGTCTGAACACTCCAAATACTAAGATACACATAATTTACTTAAGATGTTTAAAACACTTTATATCTCACAAAAAAACTAAATGTATTACCTTGCAAACAAAGTTGTATATTTAAATTCTATAAAAGCACAGACCTTATTTTCTGACGTTGCAAAACATGGACAGTGGTAGGAAAAAAAGGCACAAAACCTTAAAAAAACCTTTGGATAACTCATTTACCTAACAAGGCAAAAAGAACAACAGAAAACACTAAATACTTGGGTTTGAGTACTGGCTCAATTAGCTCTGTGACCTTCTTTAATGCAAATACCACCAAGACTTACAGGGCTATAGGTATTTTTAAAAGGGAATTAATAATCTAGAAAATATGAGAATGAGTGACAAAGAGAGTGCCAGATGTTCTTAAATACAGTCAATGCTTTCCCCCAGCCTAAAGTGTGGCTAATCAACAAACTTAAAATGAAATCAGCTTAAAAATAACTGCAAATCTTACTCTACATCTGTACCAAAAGACTTGGTCATTATATTTAAGTGAAAATTTCAGGTAGCTTTATCTTGCAAAATTGATTTTGTTTCTTCAATATTATCCAATCTTATTTTTATATTTCTATATTTAAATGAAAAGAAGGTGAGAAAACACTCACCTTGGCTGAAAGTCTTCATTATCTGTGCTTGTCCGAGGACTTATGAGTAGATGACAAATTAAGGGAAAACAACTTTGGGGAGACAGTAGAATAGCATCCCACCTTTTAATACAATTCCTCATCTTCCAAGTCTAATTGGCTCTTACCAGCCTGGTAGACTCAAACTCTTATCAGCTCTGCTCATCTGCCACATCATTTTGCCCTTCTATTCACCATGCTCCCAGCCCAAGGCCCTCTGTTCCTTTTTTTCTTCTTGGTGACAATACTGTCAGAGGGTCAATAAATTCATTGTTGGCAAAAGACACCTCAGTCACCACAGAAGTTTAAAACCAAAACAAGAACATGAAATCTCCCACTTTCAGATTTCATACATTTGAGAAGATTAACTGGAAAGTTCATTTTCAAACTAATAATTTCCACAGTATTTAGACTACATACTACAAAATGTATAATTCTAAACATGATGGGTACCAAAGCTTTCCATTAAAACTACTGAAAATTATTAATTAATATTAAGATGAAAAGGATATTGTTTCTTCTCTTCCTTTCCTCCAGAACTGTCCCTTTTCTCTTTCTTTTCTATCTTTTCTTTATCATGCCTGGATTCCTATAAGGAATGGTGAAATTAGTTGGGGGGAAGGGAAACCAAACACATTTAAAACAACAATCAGCTCAAAATCCCTTTTCATCACCCAACAGCCATAATGTTTCTTCAAAAAGTTAATGACACCAAAAGCACAAGCAATAAAAGAAAAAAAAAAAAAAATACACTGGACTCAATCAAAAGTATACACTTTTATGCACCGAAGGACACATCACAAAAATAAAAAGACAGCCTACAGAATGGAAGAAAATATCTGCAAACTATATCACGGATCTAGTATATAAAATACATTAATTAAAAAAACTTGGGGCTGGGGATGTGGCTCAAGCGGTAGCGCACTCAACTGGCATGCGTGCGGCCTGGGTTCGATCCTCAGCACCACATATAAACAAAGATGCTGTGTCCGCCGATAACTAAAAAATAAATATTAAAAAAAATTCTCTCTCTCTCTCTAAAAAAAAAAAACTCTTGCAACTGAGCAACAAATAGACAACTCAATTTTTAAACGGCCAAAGCTTTCTGAATAGATTTCTCCAAAGAAGATATACAAATGGCCAACAAGCAAATGAAAAGATATTTAACATCATTATTCATTAAGAAAATGCAAATAAGAACCATGAGATAGGACTTCAAACCCATTAGGATGGCTATAAAAAAGAAAAAAGCAAACAATAACCAGTGTTGACAAGAATGTAGAGAAATTTGCACCCTGATCACTTGCTGGAAGAAATAAATGTAAACTCCACAGCCACTGGGAAAAACATTTTGACAATTCCTCAAAAAAGTTTAACATAAAATTATTATATAACCTAGAAATTCCATTTCTAGGTATATACAAAAGAGGATTAAATACTTCATAAAAGCACACAATTACCTGTAGTAGTACTATTCATAGCTGTCAAAAGATAAAAAACACTAAAAATCCATCAACTAAAAAATGGATGAACAAATGTGGCATATTCATATGCTATTTACTCATAAAAAGAAATGAAGTAATGAAAGATGTTACAACATGGAAGAACCCAAAAAATGTCATGCTAAGTAAAGAAGACAGAAATAAAAGGCCATATTATTGTACAATTCCACTTATATATAATATTAAGGATAGGTAAATCCATAGAGACAGAAAGCAGATTAATAGTTGCCAGGGGCTTGGAGGAGGGAAAGTAGAGAGTGACCGCTTAACAGATATAGGGTTCCCCTTTAGGACAACTGAAATGTTTTGGAACTAGATGGAGATGACTGTGTAACATTATCAACACACTAAATGCCACTGAATTGTATACTTAATTTTATGTTATATGAGTTTTACCTCAATTAAAAAACACATTTAAAAGGAGCAGCCTATTGTTGGAAGCAAACAGAATTAAACCGTTCAAAATCCTTTTTAATTTTTTAAAACTGCATTTGTGAACTACTAATATACTGCATATATTATGAATATATATAATAATGCTTTGCAAACACACTTTAGTAATGACATTACTTGATGTCACATGTATGAGATTTAATTTGAATATTATCCATTAGCATATAAGAGAATATACCTTATACTTAATTTTAAAACCAAATACAAATTTCTAATGAGTTTATTATTCGGATAAAATATTATGAAATTGATTCAAATCCCATTTAATAAAGAATTTGACACTGTAATGGTCAAGGAGAATCCATGATATTATATTTTAATTTCAGGAGTGAAGACACTAAAAGCAAAGAATTGTGGGTAGCAAAAAAAAAAAAAAAAAACACACACACACAAAGAAAGCTTAAAACTCAAAGACAGAAGTAGGTGGAAGTAGAAGAGAGGACAGGAAATTTCAGAGGTATACTAACTCTACCCTCCCAGTAATTTGGGACTGATTTGGTTCAAATTCCCAAAACACATAATTTGCCCTCCCCCAATGCCTTTTCTTCCCAATATCAAATAATTTAAAAACAAAAAACATGACTTGACTAGGGTAAAAATAATCAATATTTGCCAAATTCTCAAAGGGTTGATTTTTTTCAAAGTGTAATGTTCCATTATATTCCTAATTTACCTTCTTGCCACCAGAAGAGATTTTATCCATCTTCTCAGATTTAAATGAATCACCACCGCCTTTTTCTTTGCCTGAAGATTTTGACTTATTTTTTTCCTTGTCTTTCTCATTTGGATAAGGAGACTCACATGGGCTTTCACTTTTGTGTTTTGAAACCCCCACTAAAATTACAAAAAAGAAATCATAAAAGCCTTTTCTGATTTATTTGATGATTGTTTTGAAGGTATCAATAAATCTACCTACTTGTTCCATTTTCCTCTTTCCGCCTCTTGGTTAAGTCTGGTGGCACTTCCCGGTCATTGTTTGAGTGATCCTAAAACCAAGAATTGTGAACTACATTGATCAACAGTTTATGCTTTTATTTTAAAGCATTATTTTTATACAAGAAAGGCACAGCTAACTAGCACTGGAGAATATTTGCAGCAGTTTCACATACTTGGTAAAATGGCATGAAAGACAAGCAGAGCTGGTAGAGATTACTAGGCTGAAGATCCTTATTACTGTAGAAGATGCAAACACACTTTAGGGTGAAAATACCAATTAAAACTCAAAACAACAGACTGCTATGGAACAAACTTGTATTTTTTGAAAGGTAAACACACTACTATACAATAATCAACTTTCCAAACTAGTTTTTAAAAAAGTACAAACCCTTTTCCGCTCTTTCCTGTCCTTTTCATCTTTTTTCTCTCTTTCTCTGGATCTTTCCCTTGACTTGTCCAAATCTTTCTTGTCCATTTCTCTCTCCTTACTCTTGGACAGTGGTGGAGGAGTATGATTAATGTAGAGCTGTTAAATTAAGGCAATATTACTAAAGATTATTAGTTTTCCAGTATTGGAATCTTTGGGGTTTTTTTGTTTGTTTATTAAATGAAAGACAAGTGGCAGTTAGACCCAAAGTTAAAACTGGTCAGCTGTCTGTATTACAAGAGATAAAATAAAAGAGCATCACACAAATACAAAGGTTTCATGTCTTGTCCTTATAAAAACAGCAACTTAAACTCAATCAGTTCATTATTGCCTTGACTGAGACTCCTTATTTAGTAAATTCACTAGCCAGAGTCCTCATCATCAATCTGTTGTAAAGACCTATAACCACAAATATTAAGAGTCCATATGTGGAAAACAATGACTGGACTTTCTGTGTTGCATAAAAAAATACAAACCTCTGCACAATCATGGAAATTTTAAATTCTTACCATCCATGAATAGGCAGTCAATGATGACTGTGAGCAAAAGTATAAAAATAAAACAGAGCTAAGACTTTACTAGCAAGTCCTTTCTGCCTCAGTGTAAACCATGTAGCAACTGTCCAAAATTATTTTTTTTATAAATGTAAATCAAAACTGCTGCATATTCTCTACTTCTCAAATAACCACAACTGAGTATGAAATTTGTCTAATTGGTTCTAATCAGCTCAAAAAGCCATCATGTCAGATGAGGGTGATTACATTACTAAAATACTGGAAAGTAATGAACATATATTCTCCTCTGCTTGTTCTTTCTCTGCCGAAAGACAGAGGGGCAAGATAACAACCAGACATCAAGGATATTCTAACTCTAAATAACTGAGAGATAAGCCTACTTATACAAGTTATAAATATGGAAATCCACTATAAAAGAAAATATTTAAGCAACAGTCAGGAAATAGCCCCAAACCTAATCTTAGGGTATTATAACCATCCTACAAGTTTATGTTTAATTTAATACATTCAAATATTAGGCAACAGAATACCAAATACAACTCCATTACATAACTGCACAATTCCAGATGTACCTTAGAAATTAACAGAATATTGAGACAAAAGTCAATTATTTTTACATGAAGGAATTCTTTGGTATTCAAAGGAATACAAGAAAAAGGAAGACATCAGTATGAGAATTAAACACATTTTTTTTACACCAAACAATTGCAATTCAGTTGGCTGAGAAATATTGCCATAGCAATGCAGAAGTATATTTTTTAAAATTTCAAAGTTTAAAAGTTGATGATCAATTGAAATATACAAAATGTTTATTAATAACAAAGAGCAAGAGAATGATAAACAGTCATAAAAGTACTTGCCTAAAAGATACTCTTGCTGGGTATGACTTAAATAACACTTCAGGATTTTTCTAATTGTGAGGTTTATTCACACCTTTGGTTAATATTATTTATTAAATGATAAAATAAAGGAAATAATTATTACTGCAATACTCAAAAAGATTTTTCTAAAAGAAGTATTGCTTATTTCTCCCAAGAAAAGAGGGGTGTGTGTGTGTGTGTGTGTGTGTACATGCACGTGCACACAACTCTCTGCAAGAATGATGTTTATACCTGTGCCTACTTGTATTCTGTATTGCAAGGAACTGAGAAACCTCCATGACTTACTTCAGGCATTAATAGTTAAATATTTCATTCTTGATGTAAAAAGTCAAATAGCTCAACTGACACACAATTAGAAACTCTTAGTTTAGAAATATATTCAATTCCTCCTTTCTGTCTTTCTAAGAATAATTATAATCACAATACTTTTTTCTGCAAAAACAGTTTCTCATGCCTATTGAATAAAACATATATATTCCTTAGCCTAGGCATTCCAACCCCTTCATAATTTTTCAGAATTACATCCTACTGTTTAGCAAACCAAGAAGTTCTATGCTGTGGCCATCGTGCTCCCTAACTCTGAATCTTTCCAGTAGTTCTCTTTACTAAAATGGTTACTCACTTTTAATTTCTTAAAATCCTACTTAGCCTTCAGACACAGCTCAATAGCCATCAGCACTGCAACCATCCCTCAACTCTGCAACTCATTTTCCAATGAACTCGTTTTATTGATTGATTGATTGATTGATTGACTATAACAGGTGTTCCCTATTAATTTCATGTCATTTGTTTTTATCATAATAGTTTTTGGTATGCTATCAGAGCTAGGGTGTCTTTTCTATTTTTATATATTTCCTAGTGCTAACTACACACAATGAGTGCTCAATACCTTTGCCAAATAAAATTAATAAAAGAGAGAATCCCAGAGGCAAAACATACCTAAAAGCAGGGAAACAGTTTTATATGCACAAGTGACATGATAACACAAAACACATATCCTCCAAACTCTAGAAAATGGAAAGCTATCCCAGAAACGGTGAGGTTATGCATAATCAATTTTAGAGATCACTCAAGTCCAGGAAAAAATTGTATTCTAACACATTCATATGCTATTAAACTTTCTAGACACATAAAAATGCAACATCAGCTACTACACATAACAGTACTTTGGATGTTTCAGCAAAGTCCAAAGGCTTAAGAGTTCATTTCAAGTATGTATTTAATACCTAATTTATTGCTGAGCATCATGCTAAACACTAAAGATCTGAAAAGTGGTATGAGTCACATAATTTTAGAAGCATATTTATATGCCATTTTCAAATTTTTCTGGTTGCACGCAGAATAAGTAATTGAATATTAAGTGCCCACAAAGTTGTCATTAAAAAAAAAAGGTGGGGAAACTGACTTGAATCACTATAATTTAAAAATAAAAACACACTAAAGGAGCTGGGTTCCCTTTCTACTGCTGTTGAAATGGGTGCTAAGAATAGAGGAACCTTGATTTTAGTTCCCATTTTGATACTAACTAGTTGTATGCCACTGGGAAGTCTCAAGAACTTTTTTCAGCCTCTCATTTGTCAAAAAGACAGTACCATCTGCCCTATATAGCCTCACAGCACTGTTATGAGAATGAAATGAGACAAATACATGTCATCTCACATTTTATTTTCAAAAGTGTTTTACGTATGTGAGAAACCGTAATTTTCTTCATTGTTTAGAAAATTCAGTTAATTTTTTAATAGCAGATCTCAAACTGCTTCATAGTACATTTCAGTAAATAAATACAAGACTGTTAACCCATGAATTTAAAATAGCCCACACACGCCACTGATGGTTAAGACTGGCACATACAATCCCAAACTGGTTATGAAGACCTACTATATTGCATTACATATTTAATTTAGCCAAAAAAAATGGTTTTACTTTGTTGTTAAAGGTACTCATGGTAAAACCTGATACTATTTTGATCAATATAGTATATTCTAAAAACAATGCCACATTCTTAGAGCACAAGCACATTAGCTAATCTACACTGTTAAAAAGTAGTGCTTATTTGCCCAGAATCCACAGACATTTCATTATAAAGCTATAGGTCTAAAACCAGTTAGTAGTCATGTCAAGTGACTTTCAAAGTTCCATTTGGTCCATCAGTAAGGAATCATAATTAGCAAATAAAATAGGCAATAAAATAGAAAAAGTAAAGGAGAGTATGAATTTTATAATAAAAGCAAAATGGCATGAACAATAAGCAATTCAACTATGATACTGAAAATAACTCCATAATTATAATGATACACAAACTGTACACTATTTTTAGTAGCAGAATACCCAGAAAAGTAGAATAATAAAAATACTGACACATAAACACAAACACCAATTTGAGTATTCCCATCCAGGGGAATTATTATCTTATATTAACTGTATTTCATGATATTATGCTACAACTGCCAAAAAGATATCTCAGGAAAGGAAATATTTTAAAAATTTACAGATTGAAATGGACTCAGCTTTTTAAAAAGTTATGTGAATCCATCAAATTACCTTTTTGGTCTTCTGAGCTGTCTTTAAAAAAAACAGTCCAAAATAGTCTGTCAGATTCGAGAAATTAAATAACCCTATGCCGCCCCAAAACAAACCAGAAACTCTCCCCTCCAAAACCTTAAACTTATTTCAAATTTTGAAGCATAAAAGAATGCATAACACAGCAAGCAAGGATAGATTATATAAATGTTGCCACATTACACATATTTAATAACAATCTCTGTAAAGGGACCATTGTCATCTGTTCTTTTAGTTTGTGATAAGAAATTCTAAGTAAACAGGGTACCTTTTCCCACTGATCCTGGCTTAATAATTTACTAGTGTGAGAGTATCTACTGAAAAAAAAAGAAGTAAAGAACTTTTTGGTTTACTTAGGCATGATGATTTTAAAAGACTCAAACCTTTGCGGAAGACTCCTTGAGTTCGATGAGACTGTCCTGTAGAAAATGAATGGAGATGACAGGTGAGCTGGCATAGTTCTCAGAACCCAGAGGAACTTTGGGAAGTATGGCTGTAACCTGGAAATAAATCAGCTACCTCTTGTGAAGATAAATTCCATGATATCATTATCAATATGAATATCAACAATAAAAAAAACTATGTAATGGAATTATGTAAAAAAAAAACTAAATTATATGCACTTGATGTAAGAAATAAAAAAATTTCATTCTTTCTGCTCAAATTTGTAAATGTCAATGCCACTTTTTTTTTTAATATCTCTGCACTTATGCTTTAAGTAATTTAAGAGGGTTAAGAAAGCAAAACATTTTATCTCCACAAAATATTTAAAATAGTGGAGGTTACTGTGGAAGAAAATTAACTTATATTTTCATAGTCCTTCTTTAATTGGAAAATTCCAAACTTTACTTCATTTAAAACTCTTATACATATTTTTTTAATCCTAGCTGAAAAATTTAGTGGCATTATATTATAATAAAACAAAATATATTCAACAAAAGAGTAGAGCACTGTTTTTGCAAAGCACCTATGATTGGTGAATCTCATAACTCCCACAAGAAAAAAAAAGAGTATTAAAAAAAAAAAGAAAAGAAGAAAGAAAAAGAAATCAATTACGGTATTCCACCACAGTGCTCTTGATGAAGAATTAATAACTTACAGTTTTAAAAGTTCAACGTACTGCAAATTCAAAGATTCCATGAAATTAGATGACTTTAGTATTAAAATTAAATATGGAGCAAGGAATGGCTACCCTGAGTCTTCAAGAAGGCTACACCCACGATTTTGTGCTGCAGTTGAATGCCTGGGGTTTCTCTTTGCTGGGTGGTAGGATTGGATGCCACATCTGCTCTTATCGTAACGCAAGGTTCAACTTGTTGGGAACCCAATGGGTATAAACAAACCTCCAAGGGAAGATACAACAGAAGCTGCATGCTCACTGAATATACACAACTACAGGAGAACTGATCACCAAGGAGACTTTAAAATGGAACTCCTTTCAAGACTCCTTCTTAGAAGGCACATCGGTATGATGCTCATCAAGAAGCTTGATGAATTCAGAGGTATCTTGTTTATCCTGTATCATCCAGGAAGTCTTCAGTGCTATATATTCTTCAATATTTATGCTGAAAAATAGGCTTCTTTCTGCTGAAAAGATTCATTTGCTTGTAGCTACCATTGCACTCCAAAAAAGCCTGCTTAAAGCAGTGAGGCACTTCTGGGTAAAATTTCTCTTGCACTTTGAAACACTACAAAATTAGTGCTAGGTCCTTGAAGTTTTAACATTTTTATAATAAAAATACTCAATAGGAAAAAATATCAGTCCACCAATACAGAAAAAATTCATTTTCTAATGCAATATAAAACCTCCAGTGGCTCCAGTGAATACTTGGCACAAGACTTGAAGGAAGTCAGGACACTGGTATTCCAAACAGGTGAGCCTAACATGGACGCTGCCTTCCTCAGGCTATACTAACCTTTACTGTGGAGGAATGTGACGGAGAAGGGTGGGTATCAATTTTGCGGCGTTTTTGTTCTGTTAGGACAAAAAGAAATGGTCAGAATAGAGTGTATTTCCAGTTTTCCAAACACTTAAAAGAAAAGGAACAACTTTTAAGATCATCATGTGTTCATCTCCCTAGCAAAATCTCTACATAACTTACCAAAACAAGGAGACAACAAACAAATGCACATTAAAATAACAAAAAGGTAAACAAATATAAAGAAAGGCACACTTGCCCCTTTCAGGCTCTGCAATATCTGATCGGGGAACAGGTGACTTCAAGGACCCAGAAACTGTTGTTTTTTCTCCTCCTTTAACATTTTCCTTTGATTTCATTTCCTTTGCTATCTCTCTTTCTCTGGATGGCTCCTTCTCTCTTTCCCTTTCTTGAGTCGATTTTGATTCTACGATGGGAACAGTCGTCTTGAATTTCTCATCTTTAGTTTTTTCTTCCTTCTTGAATTTTTCTTTTTCTTTGTCAGACTTAGGCGTTCTTTCCTTGGTCTCCCTTGCTTTTTCATCTTTATTTGGCCGCTCTTCCTTTGGTTTTTCTTTACCATCTTTACCAAGTACCCTGGCCTCTGGAGTAGTAGCTGGAGTCTTTTCTTTTTTCTCTTTTTCTTTGTCTTTCCCTTTTTCTTTGTCATTTTCTTTAACAGCTTTGCTGCTTAAGAATAAAAGCGGATTTTAGGACAAATACTCAAAAAATATATTCCATGTTTAAAATCATAATAGGGTTTCTTATTGACTTCAAAAATCCTAGAACTAAGAGGAATCCTTTGAAAAGTAAAGGACAACTTAAGTAAAAAGGAAAATATTTCTTTATCCAGTAAATAATAAGCAAATTCATGAAAGCAAATTAAAAGAACATCAGGTTCTTTCTGTACACATTCATAATCTTTGAGGCTAACAAAGTAAAATACAAAAATATATTCCACAAATCAACCAAGGGTGCTAGCATCAGGGGATGAATTATTGAGCTGGATGGATTTACTACTCTAAATTAGTGTACGCTTTTCCTAGGTTAACTAGACTTACTCAGATTGCCCACAGCAATCACTCTATCCTAAATTTTTTTCTAACTTCACCACCTACATCTCCCTGAATATCCCAACATGGGAAACAAAACTGCTAAACCATAATTTAGATGGTGAGCACACACCATCAAAATAGGTATACAAAATTTTAAAGTCCAACTTAAATGACTTTCATACTGCTCAACTACTACCCTCCTTCAATTTATGCTTAATGAGGCCAATTAAAGGAAATTTAGAATTGTGACATATGGCACTATGTTCCTACCTGTTTGAGCCACTATTTCCATTGCTTGAATTCCCTTTTGGTGTGGCACTAGAAGCTTTATTAACAGCTTTCACACCACACTGAGATCTCTCCCTTGATTTATCTGAAATAAAAATAAGGTTTTCTTTAACAAGCCCCTAAATGTAAATAAACAATTTCACAGCCAAATGATTAGAGGATAATTAGAATCAGCAGAATGATTACTTTTTAACAGTTACATATTCTCACCTAAGGAATAAAATTATAATATTAGGCTAGCACCATACTTGTCACATGATATAAAACATTCCAATATGATAAAACAAAAACTATTATTTATAAGTTTCTACAAATAAGCATACCAGTCTCCTCAGTACTGCTTTCATCTGATTTAGATGCACTTCCTATCGATGATGAAGAAGGCCCACCACCAGGCCCATTTTGTACACTGGCCACAGCATTCCTCGGAGGGGGGTCTTTGTGATGAAACTCATTTTCAGGTATCATGTATGACTTTTTACTTTTCAACTGCCCAGAGTAGCTGAAAGTCGCACAAAGTGTTTAAATATACAAATACAAATCAAAAAGCACAAACATGGGGTTTAAAAGAATAAAATTAGCAAGTTATTTGTTCAACTACTTGGTTCCAGAGAATTAAAAAATATTAATTTTCAGTAATTTCTTAAAGGTGCTTTTAGAGAGTCCTAAATACTTTCTTAAAAATAACTTCAAAATAAACTAATCCTTAAACTGACTTTTTTTTTCTCTTGAAGATCTGATAAATTCACTATGATGTTAATATTACATTTCCTCCCATTTGAGACGTAGTATATATGACTTGTGACACTATCATCCAGTATAGACCGGAAGTTGATAATCAGAAGTGACAACTCTCACCAGCCTGTGGGAACATGAGCGCATAATCTCCCATAATCTCCTGAAGTAAGGCAGAAGATAAACTTCAACACTGTAAAACATTTTAAAGTCTTCAGAATCCTTCTGTCAGCTAGTCTCATAAATTACATTAAAGTATAATTTTGTTACCCCATAGCCAATGCATATAGATCTGGCCTCTTCTCTTTTTCTTCTTGGCAGATTTTATGCACTCTTCTTTCCAAAGCCTGACCCAGATTCAAAACTTTTGGATACCAAGGAAGTATTTTTGTTAGCACAATCAAGATATTCCTGATGTGAGTATATTCGCCCGTTTCAAGGCAATGTACCGATGCCTAAAACAAACATTTTAAGATCCATTATTATTATTAAGTACAAATATGAAGAGAAAATACTTTTTAAAAACCCAATTTTTTTACCTTGGTTAGTTTGTAATGCCATTTATGTACAACATGCCGAAAATTTTCATAATCTAATTGATCAGCTTTATTTCCACCATCAAATCCAGTTGCCCGTAATATGGTAAGGAATCCTGGGTAGTTTCCACATTCCTAAGGAAAAACAGTTTGTCACTTTTAAAGTTACATCTGACAAAACAAAAGCTGAAACTTAAGTATACTAGATCAATGATTCCACATAAAAACAGCATGAATATTTGGATAAGTTTGGATTATTGCATGATCCCAATTTGAAATGCCAGTTTAAAATAGAATAAAAAGGTATGCTATTCTTTACAACTGGATCTTAAACTCAGCTTCCCTTTTAAAACTGAAGAATCTAAAGATTACTGCAAGTGGTCATTCTATACATGAGTAAAACATAAGGTATTTATCATACCTTTTCATATGTGGCTCTATCACTATGCCACCTGGTCACAGTCTCTAACATGCAGCAAAGAAATCTCCCATATCGACTAGCTTCATTTTCAGTACAGCTTGCAACTGTGTAAATGATGTCAGAGAAAACCTACAGGGAATAGTAGTTAAGAAAAAAAAAGCCAAGGTCAAACCAGTTTAATTATTAGAACATTGTATTATAGCAAGTCATACCAGGTAAATTCAGTCAAAATGTATTTCCCCTTTTATATTCATACTTGCAGAGACTTTTGGAGAGTCTGGCTATTGAGAGATAATAGCACATTCATAAAGCAACAACAAGAAAAGAACTTTTATAAAGAAAGCTGATTTACGACAGAAAAAAACCTATCATCATCATCACATAATAACTTCTTAAAGACAGCTATAAATATGACTAGGACTGGGGGACAGTAAGCAGAAGCAAAACTGCAACTAAAATAGGCAGCTGACATGCTATAATGTACGACATTTCTAAACCACAAAATTCAGTAATTCAATATAAGAAAAAAGCCAGATGCAAAAATCTGTGAATATGACCACACTAAAAAGCTTCCCTGATTTTATGTAGGCAAGAAGATGTAAAATTTTTTATTGTTTTTTTTTTTTTTTTTTTTGAGAAGTGAAGAATGGAGAAGAATCCTGTCTATGATGATAAGACATAAATTCAAATGATGATTTAATAGCTTAATCTTGAATGCTGTTACATATAGTTATTACTCAAAGTGCTATTTACGTGTAGATATTCATTTAATCATCACAACAATCTCATGAAGCAAGTGCTTTTGTCCCATCTTACAGATAAGAAAACTGAGGCACAGAGAAGTTAAATAACTTGTCAAAGATCAGACTGCTAGAAAGTAGTAGAGCTAGGATTCAAGTTATATGTTACTGAATGATCAATGGGTTACAGAAGACATAAAGGAGGAAATCAAAAAATTCTTAGAGATAAATGAAAATACAGACACAACATATCGGAATCTATGGGACACAATGAAAGCAGTTTTAAGAGGGAAATTCATCGCCTGGAGGTCATTCCTCAAAAAAAGGAAAAACCAACAAATAAATGAGCTCACACTTCATCTCAAAGCCCTAGAAAAGGAAGAGCAAAACAACAGCAAATGTAGCAGAAGGCAAGAAATAATTAAAATCAGAGCGGAAATCAACGAAATTGAAACAAAAGAAATATTGAAAAAATTAACAAAACTAAAAGTTGGTTCTTCGAAAAAATAAATAAGATTGACAGACCCTTACCCATGCTAATGAAGAGAAGAGAGAGAACTCAAATTACTAACATACGGGATGAAAAAGGCAATATCACAACAGATGCTACAGAAATACAGAAGACAATTAGAAATTATTTTGAAAACCTATATTCCAATAAAATAGAAGATAGTGAAGACATCGATAAATTTCTTAAGTCATATGATTTGCCCAGACTGAGTCAGGAGGATACTCACAACTTACACAGACCAATATCAATGGATGAAATAGAAGAAGCAATCAAAAGACTACCAACCAAGAAAAGCCCAGGACCGGATGGGTATACAGCAGAGTTTTACAAAACCTTTAAAGAAGAATTAATACCAATACTTTTCAAGTTATTTCAGGAAATAGAAAAAGAGGGAGCTCTGCCAAATTCATTCTATGAGGCCAACATCACCCTGATTCCGAAACCAGACAAAGACACCTCAAAGAAAGAAAACTACAGACCAATATCTCTAATGAACCTAGATGCAAAAATCCTCAATAAAATTCTGGTGAATCGGATACAAAAACACATCAAAAAAATTGTGCACCATGATCAAGTAGGTTTCATCCCAGGGATGCAAGGATGGTTCAATATACGGAAATCAATAAATGTTATTCACCACATCAATAGACTTAAAGATAAGAACCATATGATCATTTTGATAGACGCAGAAAAAGCATTCGACAAAGTACAGCATCCCTTTATGTTCAAAGCAATAGAAAAACTAGGGATAACAGGAACATACCTCAACACTGTAAAAGCTATCTATGCTAAGCCTCAGGCTAGCATCATTCTCAATGGAGAAAAATTGAAGGCATTCCCCCTAAAATCTGGAACAAGACAGGGATGCCCTCTATCACCACTTCTATTCAATATAGTTCTCGAAACACTGGCCAGAGCAATTAGACAGACGAAAGAAATTAAAGGCATAAAAATAGGAAAGGAAGAACTTAAATTATCACTATTTGCAGATGACATGATTCTATACCTAGAAGACCCAAAAGGGTCTACAAAAAAACTACTAGAACTAATAAATGAGTTCAGCAAAGTGGCGGGATATAAAATCAACACGCATAAATCAAAGGCATTTCTGTATATCAGCGACAAAACTTCTGAAATGGAAATGAGGAAAACCACCCCATTCACAATATCCTCAAAAAAAATAAAATACTTGGGAATCAACCTAACAAAAGAGGTGAAAGATTTATACAATGAAAACTACAGAACCCTAAAAAGAGAAGTAGAAGATCTTAGAAGATGGAAAAATATACCCTGTTCATGGATAGACAGAACTAACATCATCAAAATGGCGATATTACCAAAAGTTCTTTATAGGTTTAATGCAATGCCAATCAAAATCCCAACGGCATTTCTTGTAGAAATAGAGAAAGCAATCATGAAATTCATATGGAAAAATAAAAGACCCAGAATAGCAAAAGCAATTCTAAGCAGGAAGTGTGAATCAGGTGGTATAGCGATACCAGATTTCAAACTATATTACAGAGCAATAGTAACAAAAACAGCATGGTACTGGTATCAAAACAGGCGGGTGGACCAATGGTACAGAATAGAGGACACAGAGACTAATCCACAAAGCTAAAACTATCTTATATTTGATAAAGGAGCTAAAAGCATGCAATGGAGGAAGGATAGCATCTTCAACAAATGGTGCTGGGAAAACTGGAAATCCATATGCAACAAAATGAAACTGAATCCTTTCCTGTCACCATGCACAAAAGTTAACTCAAAGTGGATCAAGGAGCTAGATATCAAATCAGAGACACACCGTCTGATAGAAGAAAAAGTTGGCTACGATCTACATATTGTGGGGTCGGGCTCCAAATTCCTTAATAGGACACCCATAGCACAAGAGTTAATAACAAGAATCAACAAATGGGACTTACTTAAACTGAAAAGTTTTTTCTCAGCAAGAGAAACAATAAGAGAGGTAAATAGGGAGCCTACATCATGGGAACAAATTTTTACTCCTCACACTTCAGATAGAGCCCTAATACCCAGAGTATACAAAGAACTCAAAAAATTAGACAATAAGATAACAAATAACCCAATCAACAAATGGGCCAAGGACCTGAACAGACACTTCTCAGAGGAGGACATACAATCAATCAACAAGTACATGAAAAAATGCTCACCATCTCTAGCAGTCAGAGAAATGCAAATCAAAACCACCCTAAGATACCATCTTACTCCAGTAAGATTGGCAGCCATTATGAAGTCAAACAACAACAAGTGCTGGCGAGGATGTGGGGAAAAGGGTACTCTTGCACATTGCTGGTGGGACTGCAAACTGGTGCGGCCAATTTGGAAAGCAGTATGCAGATTCCTGGGAAAGCTGGGAATGGAACCACCATTTGACCCAGCTATTGCCCTTCTCGGACTATTCCCTGAAGACCTTAAAATAGCGTACTACAGGGATACTGCCACATCGATGTTCATAGCAGCACAATTCACAATTGCTAGACTGTGGAACCAACCCAGATGCCCTTCAATAGATGAATGGATTAAAAAAATGTGGCATTTATACACCATGGAGTATTACGCAGCACTAAAAAATGACAAAATCATGGAATTTGCAGGGAAATGGATGGCACTAGAGCAGATTATGCTTAGTGAAGCTAGCCAATCCCTAAAAAACAAATACCAAATGTCTTCTTTGATATAATGAGAGCAACTAAGAACAGAGCAGGGAAGAAGAGCAGGAAGAAAAGATTAACATTAAACAGAGACATGAGGTGGGAGGGAAAGGGAGAGAAAAGGGAAACTGCATGGTAATGGAGGGAGACCATGATTTGATATCTAGCTCCTCATTGTTATACAAAATTACATATAAGAGGTTGTGAGGGGAATGGGAAAATAATCAAGGAGAGAAATGAATTACAGTACACGGGGTAGAGAGAGAAGATGGGAGGGGAGGGGGGATAGTAGAGGATAGGAAAGGTAGCAGAATACAACAGTTACTAATAGGGCATTATGTAAAAATGTGGATATGTAACCGATGTGATTCTGCAATCTGTATTTGGGGTAAAATTGGGAGTTCATAACCAACTTGAATCTAATATATGAAATATGATATGTCAAGAGCTTTGTAATGTTTTGAACAACCAATAAAAAAAAATAAAAAAAAGAGAAGTGAAGAATGGAGAAGAATCCTGTCTATGATGATAAGACATAAATTCAAATGATTTAATAGCTTAATCTTGAATGCCGTTACATACAGTTATTACTCAAAGTGCTTTTTATGTGTAGTGATTCATTTAATCATCACAACAATCTCATGAAGCAAGTGCTTTTGTCCCATCTTACAGATAAGAAAACTGAGGCACAGAGTAGTTAAATAACTTGTCAAAGATCAGACTGCTAGAAAGTAGTAGAGCTAGGATTCAAGTTCAGCCACTTGGCTCTTGAGTTCATGCTTTTAACCAAACACACAATACCTCTATAATGTTTTAGCTATCTTTGTGTGAGACTTTTTAAAGTTGCAATAAAAAGAACTTACTCGATCATAGCAAAGAAGTGTGGAAAAATTTGGAGTTTTCTGTTGATGTACCAATTCAACAAAACGAGCACAGTAAACAGCATCAATTGCTGAAAAAATACATCGAGGAAATATACACAGCTGTAGAAATTTTGTGATGGTCTCATTTTTGGTAGATTCTAAAAATAAGGGAAGAATATATTAAGTGGTAAATTTCTTCCTCAAGTGCCTCAAGGCCACTAAATATGACAACATATTAACTTTAGTGTAGAGAATGCTACAAAACCACAAACTATTTATAGTTTGTAACCAAAAGGTCATGCCTGGGATAAGACTATCATTTTTATTCAATGTGTACATATTCTATCTACCATTTTCCCAGAAATATGATTTTTATACAGAAAAGTTGAATGATAAGCTGCCAATATTATAGTTATGAGTTAATTAATTTCACTTCAAACTAAATCAGTTCCTTCAGTGGAAATGTGAAGTTGATTCTGCATTAATGAATAACCAAAGAATGGGATAGTGAATACTGAGTTGAAATACAAACAATACACTTCAACACCTCCAAAGTTATAAAGGTTTGTTTTTGCAAATTAGCAGTAGCAGGGATATGTAATATTTCCAACAACTTACTTGCTAAAAGCCAGTTGTCCTTTTCCAATTTCAGTCTCTGTAGAACTCTCTGTACATGTTCCATCTGTTTCTTTTCTTCTTCAAGAAGTTTGTCCTGAAGAGCAGTACAACGCTCCTTCTCTTTTTTCTTTTTATTTGGAGGCTACAAAGTACAAGTTAGATACTTTCTAACTATATGCACATTACCCTCCCTTTTTAATTAAAAAATTTAACAGCTAAATGTTGACACTTTGTAATAATTTCAATACAGATGTACAGTAGATCCACTTGGATGTGTTACTTTCACCTCCATTTCATCACATCCAGAACAGTGTCAGAGTCTTAGCACAACAGGCCACCTTCCTTAACAATGATAAATTCCATCTGGTGCATGCATGGAGTCATCTTTGACTCTTCCTTCTTTATTAATATATCCCAATTATTTGCAGTATCCCACTATCGTGACCGTGGTCAGTGGTCTCTATATCATAATGAATTACCCAGAAAAGTCACCTAGGGTCTCTAGCCTAATGCATGCTCCTTTCTTATCAAAAGTATCCTTAATACTGCTGTCATAACCTTTTTAAAGTACCATTTTTAATGATTATTACTTCCCTGCTTAGCTAAAGCAGCTCTCAATTTCATCTATTTTTATTTTTTATTTTTGGTGGTGCTGGGGATTGAACTCAGGGCCCTGTGCATGTGAGGCAAGCACTCTATCATCTGAGCTATATCCCCAGCCCCCTCAATTTCATCTATTTTTCTATCTTTCAATGCCTTATATAATCTGGCACCATCCTTACTATATAAATTTATCACTATGCTATTTCTTCCTTTACTCGAACACTATAGAGTGGTGTCCCTTTTACCTCCATATTTCCAAGGCCTGCCTGACTCTAGACTCAGCTCTTCAAGAAAGTCTTCTCTAAAGAGTTCCCCTTCTGGAAAGTCCTACTGTTCTTGCAATTGGAGTCACATAGGTCACTTTCAGTTACCAGCACAGCCTTCAGAAGAAAAGCAAACTCAACTGCATTTTTTTTTCTTAAATACTTTTCTAGTTGTCAAAGGACCTTTTTAAAAAAAAGCTGAGAATCAATCCCAGTGCCCACCACATGCCAGGCAAGCGCTCTTCCACTAAGCCACAACCCAGCCTCCTCAACTGCTTTTTGATTAATCATAATTTCCATCCATTCACCAAGCCTCTGCCCCACCAATTAAGAGGTTACCATTAAACCCACTCAAGAAAATATTATTCAGCAACAAGAGCTTCAAGAATCCCGAGCTAAAACAAAATATGGAATAACACTGAATTAATTACCATAAAGTTATTGCACTTGAGTTGCTAGAACAAAAACATACCATCTCCTGATTGTCATCAATTGCTTTCATCTGGACTTTAAGTTTATTGACTTCTCGTTCATAGCTGGTATGTGGAACAGCAAGGTCATACATTGTCAATGACCAGAATGTGGCATAGAATTGTGGGCTGATGTCATCCCAGACTTTGGAAACATGTAAGGAGACCACTGCTTCATGGACAGGAGCCATCACCATCTCACATGACGTAATGTACTTATGAACTTTATGCTGCTGTTTACTTCCCTTTTCTGATTTTTTAAGTTCATCATACTTTGACTGGAGATAAAAAGTAAAAAAAAAAAATTCATACACACACAACACAATTTATAGCTTTGACTTTCATGATATAAAAACTTGTATTCCCTTTTAAAGAATCAAGATGACCATCTTAAAACTGTTATGGAAATTCTAGTTCCTGAACATTAACATAAGATAAATCATCCCTGGAAGCTGTTCCAATCTTTAGTCTCATGTTCCGAGTTTTTCAGGAGATTTAATAAAAGCTGATCTTCTGAGTGAGTGAACAAGATATATGTACCCCCAACCATTCTCCCCACCCTACTCCATCTTATTCCTCTATCAGGGACGGAACATGCAGGACTTCCAGTCCTCCTTTTGAGATGTTTGACAGAACCAAGAGGAGGGTTGTAACATTAGTGAAGAAGTACAATGGAACTAGTAACAGTCAACCAAAGATGTAACGTAGTATCACTGCACACAGTTTCCACCAACTGTTACAATTTGTCAATTAATAAGATGGATCAACTCTAGGAAGTTGAGAAAATTTCTTTAAGACTGCTAAAGTAGGGTGACCATCTGTCCTGGTTTGCCAGGGATCTAAAGGTTTACCCAGATGCAAGACTTTAGTGCTAAAACTGGGAAAGTTCAAGGCAAACCGGGACCAGCTGGTTACTCTACTGCTAAGCCAAATAAATTTTTCTATAATTAGCTATGGTATATTGAAGTTTAAAGCATGTGATAACTAATGTTATTGCTTCTTTGGCCTGACTAATATATGCTAACTTGGAAGAAAGTCAGAGGAAGGGCCATCCTCTTATCTATATGAGAAAAAAATCTGTTAGTATAAGAGGGACTGTGTATTAGTCCATAGAGGAAATGTAAAAAAGAAAAGTAATACAGAGTAGAATTGTTATTATCTCATGTCCATCAGTCTCTTTAGGATAAAAGAGCTCTCACCAGGAAAATTACACTTGGATTAGGCATCGTCCTTAAAGTGTTAGGAAAGAACTTAAGTCTTTCAGTTTGTGCTAAACATGTAACCCAAAAATAGATGCAGAGGTCAAAGGTTCTATACCAGTTCTGTACTAATAGGCAAGAGACTCAACTCCTTACAGTCCAGGTGCCTTACTTCCTAAGTGCCTTGGATGCTGCTCTACCCCTAGGTTCAATGAACTAAAAGCATAACAAGTCCTTAGTACTGTTCTAGAAGTTGGAAGACTTATCTCCTGTTATCTCCATGTTAGAGAACATGATGACAGTGAGAATATACAAGTGACAAAGCTACAAAGAAAACTAGTTATGAGTGTAAGTCTCAATTACATTAGAGACCTGAGAGAATAGCAACCGGGGAACACAGGGTTTTTAAATTTATAAAGTGGATCTTACTGAAGGTAACTAATATGAATCTAGGTGAGCAGAATGACACCTGCTAAGGTCTAACAAAACACAGGATAAAACAGTGCTGAAACTACATGCATTGGATAACATAGCTAACTAATTTGAGAAAGACTTAGAACATGCACTGGGGCAAAGCTTTTCCTTCAAACCTGTGTCTCAATATGTTTCAACAATTAAAAGTAGAAAGTATGCTACAGGTATGAGAGGGCTATTTGATAACCCCAGTCTCCCCAGTCCTCTGTTTCTGAACCTGTGACTTCTATGGCTAGGCCTCCTCCTAATCCCTATCTAGTTCGAAAAATAAGCTCGATCAGAAAAAACAGTGGTACTTCATATTTACCTAGGATGACTATTTCTTGGTCTAGTTAAACTAACTAGCACTTGAAGCTCATATCTTCAGTAGAAAGAAGAATCAAACAGTTTTCTACATCACAAGTCACCTGGGAAACAAGATGTATGGAATAGAACTGGTAACAAATCAAAATATACTGTACTTCTGACTACTATTCAAAAAGCTCTTTACTTATTGGCCTAAAAATCTGAGCAGTATTTGGTTGAATTATTCTCAAGAGAGACTTGTAATCACCAATTTATGGAAGGAACCAAACAATCCTCTAATATTCATGCACTTTCCTTCTTTCATGAAAGGCTCTTCAAAAGAAGGAGTTCACCTAAAATACAAAAGTAAGGATCCCCAGGGCAGTATGGATGACCACCCAGTGCAACCTATGTTGCTGAGGAACTCCCTTTTCAGAGAGGGGCATGAAAAAGAAGTTCTCTCTGCATGGACTATATAACCAACTTCATATACATTTGTTTTTCTCCTTAGCCCTGAGAAGGAAATTCCACTTCTTTGATTTTCTGTCTCTTAAAAAACACAGAAACAATATTTAAATGGGCCAGTAAATAGGTAAGTAGTTACTGGTATGAATGACCTGCTCCATTTTCTGACCAGAAAAAATTCAGACAACCAGGTGATCCTGTTTGCCAAGGTTCATTATCACCAATTAGTGTGTTCACTTCTCAGTACAGGACAGGACAAGTCAGAATTTCTGAGATTAAGCAATTCTCCCATCTCAGATCTTCAAGAAATCAGATCCCTTGTTTCTATAGCTGAGACACATCTACCGTGAGGTAGAGCAACAATTTAAGATATAACTACAGAAAGACAGCATATAATTATTTGGATTGAGAGATTCTAAAGGGGAAGAAGAGGCCTAACCCTACTCCCTGATCCTAGTTTTCTCACTAGAGTGTAGAGGACAGAAAGCATTACAGGATGCTAATAAAGTAACATTTAGTTAGTTATTAGAGGGAAGTGAAAAACTGCAGCAGTTGATACATAAACACTAACAGTGAATGGTCAATTAAACGATCAGTTGAACCTCACATTTCTCAGCACCTTTTTTGCATACCTCTACTACACAGCTCTGTGTCCCTACTGGAAAAAAAAGAAGGAATCTTAGTTTAAGAGAAAGGAACAAGATCTTCCCCAAAATCCTAAGTGAAATTTCTATATAGTACAGATTTTAAAACAACAAATAAACAAAAAGGCCAGAATCCATGTCTACAGAAAAAATGAAGGATATGCTGGGGGTTCCATAAATTGACAAGGCACTAAGGGGGGAATGAAAAGTAGGTTCCCATTAGAGGTCATGCTTTGCAGGGACCAGTACAGGTGACAGTTGAGGAAGGGCTATCTACTCTGCCCCATATCTTCACTGGAATTCCAATATAGTCACTACTGGGATGCCATGCTTGGGAAGTTTTCAGCTTATTTTTTTGGTGTGTGTTGTGGGGTGCTGCCAGGGATTTAAAACTCAGGGGCAGGCTGGGGATGTGGCTCAAGCGGTAGCGCGCTCGCGTGGCATGCGTGCAGGTTCGATCCTCAGCACCACATACAAAAAAAAGATGTTGTGTCCGCCGATAACTGGAAAATTAATATTAAAAAAATTCTCTCTCACTCTCTCTGAAAGAAAGAAAAGAAAGCAAGCAAGCTAGCTAGCTCAGGGGCACTCAACCCCTGAGCCACATCCCCAGCCCTTTTACGTATTTTATTTAGACTCAGGGTCTGACTTGCTTAAAGTCTCACTTTTGCTGAGGCTGGCTCTGAACTCGAGATCCTCCAGTCTCAGCCCCCACACCACTGGGATTACAGGCCTGTACCACCATGCTGGGCGGGCTTTGGCTTATTTTGAGGCAGGTTTTTTAATGGTTTCATTTAAATGGAAATAAGAAAATAACCATAAATACACCTTTCCTAGAAGCTAAACAAAAGAAAAGGGCAATAATTTTTAGGCATTGGTTGTTAATTCTTCTTCCTTTCTAAGCATTATGGGTAATAGTCATCTGACAGGAATATTCTGAAAAAAAAAAAAAAAACAGGTTTCTCTGTAGCCATTAGGAATGTTACTCAAGAAACATACCCATATTCACAAGCATCAAAACACACACAGACGCACACACAATAACAACCAAAACCAAAAAAAAAAAAAAAAAAAAATCACACACACGAGACACACGCACAAATTCCCAAGCACCTTTCAATTTACTGAATTAGAATTTTGCGCCTGAGAATGCTGAGTTTTTAAGATGCTTCTCTGGTAATTCTCATCTGGGTTTGAAAACTAGTTTGCAAGTGTCCATAAGACATCAACCAGGACAACTGTTGGAGCAGTAACAATAAAATGACTTTTGCGGGGGAGGGAGGTTACTGGGGATTGAACACAGGGGTGATTTTCCACTGAGCTACATTCCAAGTCTTTATTTTTATATTTTATTTTTTTGTACTTTGAGACAAGGTCTCATGAAATTGCTAAGGCTGGCCTTGAATTTGCAATCCTACTGCCTCAGCCTCCTGAGTCACTGGTATTACAGGCATGCACCACTACACCCAACAGACTGATTGTTAAAGGATGTATTTTCACTTACATAAATAGAGGAAGGAGAATGGGAGAGGGGAAGGAGGGCGGAAAGGAAAATGGGGAGATCATGAACTGAAATCAAATTCCATGCATGAATGATTTTGTCAGGATGTATCTGACTACTATATATAACTATAATGTGCTAATAAAAAAATAAGCTATTAAAAAAAGGATACACTTGTATTGTACACCATTTGGAAATGAATATTAACAAAAGATAATAACTCTAAAGAGACCTAATCTATATTAAACTAAAATACATTTAAAACTCAAACACTTAAGAATTTAGAATCATTCTTGAATGGTAACAAAGATATCTGTACTTACCGAAATATGATGCGCATACATTGGCCTAGACAGAAAAAATGCTGCATCATGGGGTGTATGGAATTCATTACAGAGCACATCAATTGAAGGCACTCGCTTTATATAATCTTCTGTGCTTAGATTTGATGCTAAAAACCCACCAAATTGTACCAGGGTATCATGACACTAAATTTTTAAAATGAGACAAAAAACACAGAATGTTACATTCTATAAAAACCATCATAAACATTTTCAAAAATGATTAAGAAATGTCATTTTAATAACATTTTGATCAACAATTAAGAATTCAAATTTTAATTGTGGGAACATGGTTGGAACTGAAGGACATTATGTTAAATGGCATAAGCCAGGCACAGAAAGACAATTACCACATGTTCCCATTCATATGTAGAAGCTAAAAAAGTTGATTTCATAGAAGCAGCAAGCAGAAGAGTGGTCACTAAAGACAAAGAAGGATGAGGACAGAGGAGGAGTGAGATGTTGAGGGTGGATCACAGGTACCAAACTATAGTTACATAGAATGAATAAAACCTAGTGTTGAATAGTAAACAATAGGCAAATTATAGCTTACAACAATATATTTTACAAAGAACTAGAAAAGGGGAGTTACAAGGTTTCCAACACAAAGCAATGATAAATGTTTAAGGAGATGGAAACGCTAATTGTAATTTAGTCATTACACACTGTATATAGCTGATTATCACACTACACCCCATAAATACATAATTCTTATGTCAATTAAAAATTTTAAAAAACGTAAATCTGATGCTTTCACATATATATTGGCCAAATAAATATTTTACTATTGTCAAAAAACTACAAATTTTACATCTAAAGACTACCTACAAACACAATCACAAAATCATATTACAAAGAAGATGCCAAGGCCCTAATAGGTTGATTAATCTAAGGCTTTAATAGTCAATTAAGTCTCTTAAGTTCCAAGCTATTATTTGGCATTTTAAATAGAATATATTTACCTAAAATTACATAAAATAATATGCACAGGCAAATCAAATCCAATTCCTTTGCTGTTAAAAGATGAAAACTTTATAGTATACATAAATATTAAGCACTAAAACCTACAATTAGCACACTAAATGTGTTTAACTATCACCAACCATATTACAAAGAAAAATGAGATGGCATCTACTATGTTGTGATTGAATTCCAGATTTCCAGAGATAAATAAAGATAGGAAAAGAAACAACTTGAAATTTCAGGAATTTAATAATAGGATATTTAACTAAAAACATTACACATACTATAACATCTCCTACAGACATCTCTTAAATACCAAAAACTGTACAGAAATAGAGGCCCTAATTTAAGAATGCCCATTTGAACATTACTGCTCTTTCCCACTCACATGACGTGCAAAATTGAAATTTTCCAAATTATGTCACGTTCTCTATTTCCCTTTATCAGGATTTAAAAATCTACATCAATACAAAAGTCACTTTAACTTACCTGGTCATAGAGCTTTCCCACAAGTTTCAAATGTTTCTCTCCGCCTTCCTGAAAGATTACCCCATTCCTCTGCTGAGCCATAAGCAAACAGAGAGGAAGAGCAAGATCATGGTCCAATAATGCATCCTTTAATCTCTGAGAGGATTTTTTAGTGTTTCTAATCTGGCCAAAATAACCACCCTGCATAAGAGAAAATAAATTTACTGGCATACAGTGCACATAGCCCATACCCTCTGACTTGATAAAGACATAGAAGAAAGCTAAGTCATAATTTTGAAAATAAAACATTCCTACATTTGATATTCCTTCCTTTTTTCATAAATTTATTCTAATGACACTGTTATTGATCACACTGAATTAAAGATAACTGTTAATTGTATTTAAACTTCTGCATACTTTCCATTTTTTCACTTTGCAGTCCCTTGTCAATTTTTATTCAATGTGGAAAAGGTTCAATAGAGTTACTATGCATATCACTGAGGATATCACTGAGCACTGAAGATCTAGAACTTCTTTTTAGTACACATGTAAAACTGTCTTTTATACTGTTTTTTAAAAAGATTACTATAACTAATATATCTCAGTTTTTTTAAAGGGAGGTAGTATGGTTGCTGAAAGGGGACACATATGGCTTTGACATTGGCTTTATATACTTATGTATTGTTTAAATTTGGGGGGCTTCATACCTGGGATCAAACTCAGAGAGAGACAGGGTTGCTTAGGGCCTCATTAAATGGCTGAGCTGGCTTTGAACTCACAATCCTCCTGCCTCAGCCTCCTGAGCTGCTGGAGTTACGGTTGTATACCATCACACCTGGAACATTCCCTCCCTTTTTTTGGAGGGGGGTACAGGGGATTGAACTCAGGGACACTCAACCACTGAACCACATTCCCAACAACCCTATTTTGTATTTTACTTAGAGACAGGGTCTTACTGAGTTGTTTAGTGTCTCACTTTGGCTGAGGCTAGCTTTGAATTCACGATTCTCCTGCCTCAGCCTCCCGAACCACTGGGATTACAGATGTGCACCACTGCACGGAGCTACTGTTTAAATTTTTGACTATGACCATGAACATAGTAGTGCTACCTTATAATATATATACATATATACCTTATATATATTCCAAAATTCATTGTATATTTTTGAAACCACAGATAGCATCAAATTATAAACATACAGCATTTTTTCTATACAGGCATACATATATGATAAAGTTTAATATATAAATTAGGCACTGTAAGTTATTAATAGTAACTGATAAAGAATTATAAGAATATATCACAATAAAAATTATGTGATATTATGTGTGGATGTTCTCTCCCTGCCTCAAAATATTTTATTGTACTGTACTTTCCTTTCTTATGATGCAAGATGATAAAATATCTATGTGATGACATGAAGGACACAGGCATTATGATGTAGCATGAGCCTACTTAAGTGAAGTGTTACTTGAATTCAAGTACTATGATGATCAATCTGATAAGGAAGACACCTATTTATATCATCAATCTGATAACTTGAGAAGGCTACTAAGTGGCTAATGGGCTGTTAGCATATACAACATAAATATGCTGGACAAAGGGATGATTCACATCCCAGGTGAGAATAAGTGAGAGGCATGACTTCATCCTTCATCATGCTACGCAGAATGGAGTTCAAATTAAGACTTACAATCGATGTGTTTCTGTTTTGTGTTGTAGCATTTGTTCTGGAAGCTTGTATTTACATTTTAAGTGTATCTGGTAAGTGGGCTGGAGCCCTCGTCTGGGCCGGAAAAAAAAAGAAGCCCTCCGGTCAAAAAAAAAAAAAAAAACTTATAATCATTATGTTTTATATTATATCACATATATATATATATATATATTATATAATAATTATATCTGGATTTTTCTATTTCATATTTTTGAACCATGATTGACTATGGATTAATTGAAACCTTGAAATACAAAACCAAAGATGAGGTGTGATCAGTGTACATTCTAAATTTTAAAAGTCAGTAAACAAAAATAGCAACTCTTACCTCAGCTTTTAGCTGCTCCCCACCAGTCATGGCCTCTAGTTGCTCCATTGTCATTTCCTCTGTAATTTCTATTCCTGCCATTTTTTGTACCACTTCTTTTAATATAAGCAGGTCAAAACTATTCCAAAAAGTAAAAACAAATATTCGATAGTTAAAACATCCAATATGAAAGCCACACTACATTATAATTAATATACTGAGAATGCCCCAATTATTTGTACATACACATGGAGGAAAGGTTAACATGGTTTTTAAAGAACTATTCTGAAAAAATATTTTATGCATGTTTAACTTTTTACTTGGAAATAATTTCAAACTTACACATAGGATACAAATTATGAAAAGAGTATAAAGCACACTCATACCCTATACCCCAATTTCATCTACTTTTACCACTTTTACTCTTGTTTGCTTTTATCTTTTGCATTTTCTCTCCTTCCCGTTCTATGCACGCACAGGATTTTTGAACAATTTGAGATGAATTATTTAAATCATGGTCTTTTATTCCCTAAAATTCCTAAGAACACATTTTTTAAAAGCAGAGCAATTCTTTTATATAACCACAGCATAGTTATCAAGTTCTGTAACTCTAATACTTAATCTACTATTCATATTTCATCTTCGTAAGTGGACCCAATTTCAAAAGAGAGTTATCGTGCAAATTAGTATACAAGTACCAATGAAATAATTTTTTCTTTAAACTGTGTTTTAATCAGATGATCACAAAAATATATTCACAGTACAGAAAATATATCTATACTGAGTACAGATTAAAAGATGTGTGTTCTTCTAGCCTACAGACAGTAAAATGTATAGGAATAGCTGATAAATGATCTGTTGACAAAATCCTGGGTCTATACATTCTAAAATGTTTTCACAAAGTCAAAATAAGAAATCAGCCAAGAATCACTTTAATACTTCTTTAAAACAACAGATAGAAAGCAAACAAACTAAAAGCTATCAAAAAGCTTTAGGAGGGGCTAGAGTTGTGGCTCAGTGGGAGGACACTTGCCTCGCATGTGCAAGGCCCTGGGTTCAATCCTCAGCACCACATAAAAATAAAGGTATTGTGTCCAAGTATAACTAAAAAAAATAATTTTTAAAAAAAAGCTTTTAGGAAAAAAATTCAATTTCTGTTATACTAGCCAATTTACTGCTGATGATGCTTAATTTACATACTAATTCACTATAAGTACTAATATTGGACCAGAATTAAATAAATTTAGGTACTTATAAAGAAGAGAACACTGTCCAAAAGTTATATAAGCCTTATGTACATCTTAAGTTCAAATTTTAAAAATTATACTTTAAAGATACTATACAATCCTTTAAAATAAACATGTTCCTACCAGATGCTCAATGTGGTAAATTACTGCCCAGAAGCACAATATGCTTTGTCATGAGAGGATATACAATATACCATGTTAACTATTTACTCAAAAGCCTAACAGGCAGTCAAATTAGGTAAATGTATCTTTTTAGTGAGCTACATTTATAGGCAAATATTACATTTATTTCTGAAAAAGGGTGTCTCTCTTTGTATTAAATTATAATTTCTCTTCATTAAAAATTCCATATAAATAAGTGAGCAACTGTTCTACTTGAGCCTATAATCAACAAGTAGTCTTTCAGGATAATAACAATCTCAATATTCCAAAACCACAGATGCACTCTAATTATTGAATTTCATTTACATATGTTATGATTACCTTTTGCCTGCTTTGAGTTGATTGGCCACATACTGAAGGAGACCAGCAAGATCAATTGGATATTTACGAAAAACCGCACCACAGAAACTAGCCAGACCTATATAAATTTTTTTAAAAAAAGAATAAACAGTTCATAAAACAAAATGAGGTAGGAATGATTATATTGCTGATGCCACTTGTATATCTAAAAACTACAAATAAATTTTTTAAAAGTTTTTAAAGCAAGCACAGGCAACAGAATACAAATGAATAGTGATAGCTAACATTTACTGAGAGTGTGAGTGTATGTGTGTGTGTATGTGTGTGTGTGTAAAACAGCGTATCAAACACTTTACATAGACTATCTCATTTAATGCTTGCAACAATTATCTTAGATTGGTATAAATGTACTGATGAGGCCAATATATGTCATATAATTTGCTCCTGGTCACACAGTACAAAGTAGTGATTCAAACCTATGCCACCTGATTAATGAGGACACAACAAAAATCTTGCAGATCACAGAGTAAACTTCAATGATAAAATACCCCTCTTGAAAGTTTGAATCAATTTTTTTTTTTTGTCTAGAAACATGCTACCAGTTGTAAAGCACCAAGGAAAGAGGTAAAGCATTGCAGACCAAAAAGTAGACAAAAGACCAGTTTTAACAAATAGTGCAAAAGGTCCCTGGAAAGTGCAAGAAGTTCAGATTAATGGAGCCTAGAATATTGGGGAGGGTGAAAACATGAGGCTAAAACAGTAACCTGATTCCATTAGAACAACTTGTATGACTTATTAAATATTTTAGATGTTATAGGATAATAGGGAACCAGTGCACAATTCAGATATCAGACACATCAGGTTGAAAGAAAGAGAACTGAGAAGGAGTGTGACCAGTTCCCCGTAAGATCAACTCCTTTAAAATAACAGTAATTTAGGGGCTGGGGTTGTGGCTCAGTGGTAAAGTGCTAAAGTTCAATCCTCAGCACCACATAAATGTAAAATGAAGATATTATGTCTACCTATAACTTAAGAATAAATATTTAAAAAAAAAAAAAACAGTGATTTAAAAGAAGGGGATTTTTATCTCCCAGGTAATGCTTCCCCAAACTCTACCATAGTCAATAATGGTCTCAAGTTTGGAAAATCAATAAGTATTATATAGCAAAGGACTTGGACACTGTGTACACATCTGAGTGCCTCATTATTCTTAAGAGCCCTCGACAAATATATTCTTGTATAGAAGTTCATAGGATCAGACAAAGAGTAATGAAGGGAAGTGGGGAGAATAGGAAAGACAGTAGAATGAATTGGGCATAACTTTCCTATGTTCATATATGAATACATAACCAGTATAAATACACATCATGTTCAACCACAAGAATGGGATCAAAATTGTAATACGTTGCACCCCATGTATGATACTCTATTGTCACGTATATCTAAAAACTACAAATAAATAAATTTTAAGAAAGTTTTTAAGCATAGGCAACAATACAAAACATAGCAGTTATCACCAACAGTAATCTCATCTTTGAAAAAATAAAATTACTTACTCTGAAGCCAGCTTGAGATGGTTGTGTCATCATGTTTCATTCTCTCCTTTTCTGGATTAGCCAAAGCTTCAATGATACAATCTTTCATACATTAAGAAAAAAATATTTAACTACATCTCTAACAAAGACCCTCACAACAAACAAAAAATGCATCTTGAGAGAAAAATAAAACTGTTTGCTTCAAGTAATTACAAATTATTGACAAATATTCATTGTAATACCAACTTTTCTTCTTTAGTCTCTTTTCTACCTTTCAACAAACAAGATAGACTCCACCTATACCAAGATGTTTGATAAACCTAATGCCTTTATATAACACAAAGGCACTCACACAAGTGTAGAGACACTCATTCTCCAGCTCACAATCTTGCTGGGCCAAACTTCAGATAATCCACCTGAATTAACCTCATTTGGTTACTAAAAGAAATTAGAATGAAAATAAATCATTCACCATTAATGGGAAATCTATGTATTCCTTCACTTGAAAGGATACAGGCCAAGACATCATAATTCAATGATGTGAGGTATTTCAATGAATCAACTACAGGTGTTATTAAATTATCATATTTCTGTATTTGTGACAAGATCTGGAAGACAGCAACAAAAAACAGATGTCATTAACTAAACAAAAGAGAACTACTATGCCAACTAAGTGATAGCTACAATTTTCCAGTACAAACAATGCTTATAATTAAAATGTTTTCCTATAATTTTACATTTATACAAAACTTATTATTCTATCAATGCCTTAGAGAATATTTTCTTAGTCTACACTTTACAACTAAGAAATAATTCCAGGGAGTCTAAACATGGATTTTGAAAAGAGAGAGGCTAGTCTCATGTTAAATGTGTTTTTGAATCAAAGAAATGAAAGTCACAGTGTTATATCTGAATCACAATGAAATGCTATTCAAATGCTTCTAAAAGCTAAAATCAACAAATAATGCTTCTAGGAATGAAAATATGGTAAACAAGATAACAGGGTATTTATATTTGTAGTGCTATTGTGTACTACAAAAATAAGTCAATGTATTACATTGTGTAGTAAGTTTTCTTAGTACAACCAAATGTTCCATTTGCTTAAATTTTTTTCCTAAAACTACAAAACAATTTTAAGATTATATCTATTTCAATTTCTGTATTAAAGACAACCCAAAGAAAAATTCCTTAAAATAATATTAATCTTAAAACATACATAATCAAACAAAATGGTTGGATTGCTGTGGCTCAACTTCCCAATTTGTCTTCCTGAAGGCTTCACATTTTCCTTGGTTAAACGCCTACAAGGGGAGAGAAAGGTGGCAGGGATCATCTTAAGTAACATTACCCATCATGTTGACAGCTTTGTTATATCATGGGGTTAGGGGACTGGACAATAGTTCTTTCCCAAATATCCAATATGAATCCATGTAAACAACTGTATTTATCATATACTCTATTGTAGTAGTTAGGTTAGGGTGTCTCCCAGAGGATATCAAATGTGTAACATTTATAAAATACACATTTCCATTTTATACTAATAATCTAATAAGCAGTAAAATTTTTAATGTACTCTATAAGTATATAAAATTCTTTTTATAGAATGTCATAATCATTTTTAGATTTAGAAGTGCTCATTTATAAGCTTAGAGATTAAAATATCAAATTTGGTATAATACAATCAAATGCCTCATGTCATCTGGCTCAGTGACCCTAAAGAAGTAATAGTCAATGTTATACTCCTTGATATGAATGTTCTCTGCTTTTCTATTCAAGTTAAACTATTTAAAAAAATAAATTCTACTTCTTTCCTTCCTCTTTATTTCTTCTTCTGCTTGGAAGTCTTTTACCAACATTCTGCAAACTTATATCAATAAAACTTTTACAGCTCAAAACAATTATTACACCAAAACTTAAATACTTCTGATGAAAATTTTACACAATAAATTCAAAAACTTGAGAGACTTTTCACAAAACAATTATATGTGAAAGGAAAGAAGTTTTTTTCCTTAAAAGAATTTTACATTGTGAATTTGGTATATAAATCAGGGACTGTGATCATTCTAAAAATAACAAATGACATAATCATCTCAAGAATCTTATGACAAAACAAACCCAATAATTAAAATGATTTCATCATTGGCCATTTTCCTTTCCCATTTTCCACTGCCCAGTTTCTTGCTCCTGCTTCCAGAAAGGAGAACAGTAGTTTTAAACTTTGGCTATATTCTGTTCCAGCTTCAAACTTACTACCACCTGTCTCCACCTATTTGCCAAGGCTAACCCTTCCCTACTTTTGATTCCACTCCCTTCTGCCTCCACTATGGGGAGAAGAGGGCAAACAAACAGAAATTAAAATGAATATTTACTTGATTATGCCTTACCCTCAAGCTACCATGGTATCTGGCACATAAAATATAATCAGTAAGCACTTGTAGAATGAATTATTAAATGCCCTATAGCAAGTTCATGTTTTAAGCAATATTCAAACCTTGTGAAATTCTATAAGTAGGGGCTTGGGACGTGGCTCAAGTGGTAGCGCACTCGCCTGGCATGCATGAGGCACTGGGTTCGATCCTCAGCACCACATAAAAATAAAATAAAGATATTGTGTCCACCTAAAAAAACTAAAAAGTAAATATTTTTTTAAAAAAGAAATTCTACAAGTAATAATTAATATTGTCCACTCTCAGTGTAAAAAGTTCAAACAATATCAAACTCATAATGTTCAAGCCTGGTTTACAGTTCCAATTTACAAATGCAACAATAATCCAAGTGTATTAAAAACTCTGTGCATATTTTTCTATGATAAATTATATTTTTATTCATCAATTAATTAATTCATATTAATGCCCAGTATGACACACAAAAATGCTAAGTATCAGGAATACAAAGACGAATAACAGTCTCTGTTCTCGAGCTTGATATAGAGGGAAACAGATTTAAATCCATGTTTTAAATTTCTATAGTCTTAAAATTTTTCAGAACAGTACTTATATTCTATCAATAATATAAAAAGTGAGAATAAGGGATGGGATTATAGCTCAGTAGTAGAGCACTTGCCTAGTGTGTGTGAGGTACTAGATTCAATCCTCAGCATCACATAAAAACAAACAAATAAAATAAAGGTACTGGGCTGGGGTTGTGGCTCAGTGGTACAGCACTTGCCTAGCATGCGTGAGGCACTATGTTAGATCCTCAGCACCACATAAAAATAAAATAAAGGTATTGTGTTCACCTACAACTTAAAAATATATTTTTAAAAAAGATGTGGTATCCAACTACAAGTAAAAATATTTTTAAGTGAGGATAATATATTTGTATTGCCTTGTGCATACATAAAATTATCTTGAAAGATAAATAAGAAACTAAACCCTGAACTGTTAAATAAATAGATAGATAAATAAATGAAAGGAAGGAAGGAACTAAACATTGATTACTCCCCCTACCCCTTGGGGAGTAACTGAATGAAAGGATAATAGGATAAGAGACCTTTTATGGCATAACTTTTTTACTTTTTAAATTTTTTATATATCTATGGGGCAAATTGGGATGTTTTGATCTATTTATGCACTATAGAAAGATTCCATCAAGCTAATTAACATTCCATCACCCCACCAAGTTATCTTTGAGTATGTGCACATGCATGTGTGTGTATGGTGCTAAGACTAAAAATCTATTCTTTTTGCAATTCTGAAATAAACATTATCATCAGCTGTGGTCACCATGCAGTACAAGAGATCACTAAAACTTATTCCTCCAATCTAACTGAAATTTTATATTCTTTGATCAACATCTCCCCTTTCTCCATGCCTTCCCTCACCCCCACAGCTTCTGGTAGACTTTTTACTATACAGCTTTTAAAAAGAAAGAAATTGGATTCAAGGCAATATGGATGAAACTGGAGGACATTATACTAAGTGAAACAAGCCAGGCACAGAAAGACACTCACTATACGATCTCACTTACATATAAACTCTATATACCTCTTTAGATTTAAGATATATATGAACATATCAACTTTAAAGAGATTTTTTTTAAAAAAAGAAAACAATCATAGCAATGTACTTAAGTGATATGCTAGCATTATTTGCCTAAGGAATACTGATGGCACAAATAAAAGACAATCAATGAATTTGGGTAGTATGTGCTAGGGAAAGTTTCAGAGAAGTGACACTGGAGCTCCTCTCCAAGAATGAATCACCAATGGAGAAGGGAAAGGGAGGTAAGGGAAAAACCTGTACAAATATAGGAAACAAAAATATATGCAAAGGAAGTAAAGCTAAGGAGACCATGATACATTTAGGAAATACATTTAGGCTCAGTACAGCTCGAGGTAGAATCTCTTACCTCACCATGTCATAAAGCTTGACATACAACCTGCAGGCAATGGTCAGTAGGCAAAGGATTTTGAAGTAAAAGAATAATATAAGGCACTGTAATACTCCAGATCAAAGAACCAAGGTTATAGTGGTAGAGAGAATAGATGAAATGAATTCAAGGAATTTAATAATATTTAATATTATTAAAGAATCTAATAAAGCACTTAGTTCAGTGCCTAGCACACATAGTAATAGCTCCATAAATATTAACTTTTCTTAACTGAGAAACTGTACCTGGAGAACTTTAAAGATCAGAACTCTTTCAGGAAAACCAGGCCTAATAACTCGAATAAGAACTTGCCTAGGCAAAATAATTCACTCTTTTGTCTATCCTCCCATAGCATTTCATACATAATATAAAAGAGCACCTATTAAACCAGATTGTGACTCTGCACAGCTCCCAGCAGACTGTGACTAAAGACACTATCATTGAGCAAGGACATCATCAGTGCATACTATTAAATCTAGTTAAACTAAAGAGTATACAACTTTTAATTAGAATGGCCATACCACTGCATGAATTTATAAGTGGAACAACAACTGATAATACAGCCTTGCTGAAAACACATACAAATACAGCAAGTGTATTTAGTATCAAAAGTGATACTAATCAGAAGTATATAAGCTTTATAATTAAACTAGTCTACCAGGAAGTAGAATTAACATTACTCTTACATTTTTAATGACATAAAATAAAAGCACACAAATAAAAGAAATTTCTTGAAAGTTGGCTCCCTATGGAGATAGGAAGGTCTAATTCAATTACGCAGAACTAACAGATAAAACATCTTTATTAGAATAACTATCAGTGGAAGAAATTCCTAGAACTGTGACAACCTTGCATAAACCATCAACTGTATTATGCAAATTAAAGAAAAGCCACAGCAGGCTGTCTTTTTTTTTAAAGAACTCATCCTATAATATGATGCATTTAGATAATTTTTATTAGATTTTATACATAGACAACTATGAAAACATTAACTTGGTAGTTAAAATGAGCTAAAAAAAAATCACAAAAATTCATATTCCATCTACAGTATATAATCAGCTATTCCTTTAGTAAATATTTATGTGCTTTCTCAAAACTGAGGTGCTGACATAAGCTACCTTAAACAAAGTAAATTAAATCCAGATATAGTTTAGATTAATATGAAGAAAAATAAATTAAAACTTACTTCATGATATATTTGGCTCTGTCTATTGTTTGAGCTTTAACTTTTACTAAAAGTGGGTGACTGTTATAAGTTTCATTCTTCCACTGGCCATACAGATGATATCTTAAAAAATGATGAGATGAAGAATTAGGAAAGGTTAAATACTTGGAGGTTAATACACTAGAATTACTAGTAGTTAAAAATAGAAAAATAATGTGTATTTACCTATGCTGATAGGGAAATGTTTTAAACATCCCCCATAGTTCCTCAGACATACAAGCATTGCAGTCCATCAAAGAAAGAGATGGAAGTAGTACCTGGTCAGTAATGCTAAGCAAACAGCTAAGGATAACTTCCTAAGAAGAAAGGAGGAAAAAAAAAACTATATCAATAAGAGGTCCATACCAATCCAGCTTCAAAATAATTTTTGAAGAAATTACCATTTCTTGATTTCATAACACAATATCTAATTCCCCACCCTAACACTGTCCTTACTTGTTTTTCTCCATCCAAGATAGCAAATGGGGTGAGAGAAGGAAAGGGAGAGCAAGGGAATGAGGGACTTTTATCTCTCTTCCTTTCTCAACATGTTAATCTTCAAAAGAAAGGGATATTAATCTTAAAAAGGTAACTTTGTACAGTTGCCAAAAGCTGTACTCAGTACGTAAAGCATAAAATAATTATTTACACAGATGATTAAAGCTTATTCACAGTAAAATTTGCAATATGCTGTACCTAAACAAACATTAGATACATTATTGGATTGTTCCAATCTCTTACCGTTTTCTCTTTATCTTCTTGTTTGCTTCCATCAGACTGAAACTAAAATTTAAAAAAAAAAATTAATAAAATACAAAGGTTGAAATTATGCAGTCACAATATAGTTTCTAATTTGAAAAAAATTAACTTACACATAATAGCAAATTGTTTTTACCTTTTACACACTTGTAGATTCTAAATATAGCCTATTAAAAATTAACATTCTTAAATTTTATCTATATTTCTAACCTCCAAATCATTCTTGGCACATGAATCTTAAGTTTTATAAGCCAATTCTTTTCTCAACCTCCTTATTATAAACCAAAGCATCCTAAAATTGATGAAAGTATATAGTATAAAACCAAATATTATAAAATTACAGCCAGTACAATCATTTAGTTATAATGCATTTGCATTTTCTACCCATATTTCCTCTACAGAATTAGTTTTTAAAAAAAAAATCAAACAATAACGCAACAAAAACACAAAAAGAAAATTAAACACAAAGAAATTTAAAGCTATGTTTTAATTCATGGCTACCAAAGTACTCACTGAAAATCAGCCCAATATTAAAAACATTGCTGATAAGGACAAAACCATTGCCTAACTTGGACTCACTGAATAAAAATCAACTTAAGTTCCTGTTATGTCATAATTTGCAGATAGTCCCCTAAAGTGATATGACTGACAGTGTTGACTACTCATTCAAAATGAAGCAGTAAATGGTACTTATGTGTGTTTATAGGGTAAAGGGTTGGAGGAATGCGTGTAGAGGCCAAAAGGACAACTGAAGAACCTAAGGACAATCTAGATTTCTGGAAAGGATTTAGTTCAATAGCAAGTGCAAGAAAGATAAAAGCTAGTATGTACCTAACAAAGTTCTTATTTTCTTGGTAAATAAGCATATTTTGTGTATGTATATGTTTTTGTACTTAAGCAGTTCAGTGAATGCTAACTACAGTGAAGTCTAAATACTACATTTTCACTTAACACTAGTTTGGGACCTACCATGTCTCCTTTATGGGAAAATGAATACAAACACTTCATTTTAAATTGACAGGTCAAAAAGGTTACCCCTCACAGAAACAATTAAGTCAGCAGATATCCTGTTCCCAAGTAAGGAACTGGGTTACAGAGAAATGGCCTGGTAAAAACAAATTTAGATAGATGTTTTTGTGTTGTTTTGTTTCAAGTATGGGGATTGTAACTGTGGTGGCATACTACATATACACTTGGAAACACAAATGAGGGTATGCCATAATTGGAAAAAATTAAGTTTACAGTCTATTATGTTAAAGTTAAGCTAACCCTTTCCTAGAATACATACTACAAACCTTAAACTGCTACATATAGTTTTTACCATAGAAATAAAACATTTTCTTCATTACTAAGCTAGCCTAATTCTCTTACTAGGTAATTCATATGAGTCTATAACATCTATGTGTCAATTCTCGATTTCATAAGCAGGGAATTTTGAAAAAGAAACAGGGAAATAAAGTCATCTAGAAGAGCAGTAAGAAATCTTCCTATGAAAGGCTAATAAGAGCAAAAATGAACAAAAATAATTCAAGAGGTAAAAGCAAATAAAAGCAATTTTCTTTTGTTTGGTAAGAAGATAAATGAATTCCACTCCCTTGATGCTTTTTCTTTGAGCTTACTTTGCTTTTTAATTCAGAGTAATGTAAGATTCTCCTTTCACATAATACAATACTACAATTTTTTACTGAATGCCAGGCTAAATAATGGGAGGGAGGCAAAAGAGAGATATTTATTTATCCGTTTACTAAATGCCAGACATGAAAATTTAAAGTTGAACAGGACAGAACCCCTATATTTGAAAAGCTAACATCATTATAAGATCAAAACTATAAGTAGTGATTTAATTTTTATGTCTGAATAAGACAGAACACTCACAAATATGTCTAGAGAGGCTATCAGCTCAATGGCCCAAAACAAGTTCCAATATCACCCTATAAAGACAGAACAGCTGGTTGGGCTGCAAAGCAGTACTGGGCACAAAAAAAAAAAAAATCACAAAGATCATCCATCAAGAGGGAGGCTTTGGGAGAGTTAAGGAATAAAGGGAAAAGTTATAGATATAACTACATAAATTACATTTTTATTACTAACAATCTATTTTTTAGTACTTCTAATCCATGAACATCTCAACTACTACTTGTGATTATACTTAATCTCAGAAGAGAAAATAAAAAATACTTCAGGCCTATGACCAGACTGGACCTGAAGTTAAATTATGGCACCATTTTCACCATGCTTATTCTTCTCATTCTTATTAACTACCATTTATTGAGTATCTACTAGGTGTCATGTACTATGCTAAAAACTTCATATTTATGTATTACAACTATACTGTGAGGAAAACTTTTGCTAGGAAGAATCCAAATAAGACCTATAAAATAATTTAGAAAATGGCAAATATAATCCACAAATAAAAGTTACAGGAACATGAGCTTAACAAGCTTGTATAAGAGATTATCAATCACCTTTCAGTTTTTGGTTCACAATTTTGCTTTTAACTCTTAAGACTTTATTAATGCTTAGAAATACACAATAATGTTGATAGTACCATCATCTAAAGGTACTAATTGAAAAAGTATTATCTACCACATTTCATTTTTGGTCAATACAATATTATGATTCTGAACAATGATAACATGGTTACGTACACAGAGGATGACCATATGTGCTGGCTCTTACATTTTATTCCAGTATAATAGCGCAACATTTCAATAGAAAGAGTCGTGGTTTAGACAATAAATTACATGGTTTCCCTACCTATCACATTGGTAGAATTCAAATTGCAGTAAACAACTTTGTAAGAGTGATTTAAATATTAAAATACACCCAGAAATCTCTGCCATACAGCTCTATTCAATTTCACAAAATTGACCACCCAAAAGTAGAGCATTTTCAGTGTCCTTTATGAATATGTGCTACATTTAAACAATTTTCTTTATTTAAAAATTGCTCTGTAAATCTAATTTTGGGGAAAATTAAGGTTTCTACATTGAATTTGTTTAAAGTAACATGCCACTGTATTTTAGTTTCAATTCCCCAAAAACAAACCTTATTCTAGTGCAAGCACTATTTACTTATAAAACAGCCTTTAAAGTACCACCAGTAGGAAACTATCCGTGTGGGTAAATGCAGTTCAATCCCATGTGAAGACTTTGAGAGTCTGTGTAGAAATCCATCACAGGATTATTCCAACAGAGAGCAAGGCAGTTAATAGACCAACTCTCATCTTTCACAGGTTGAAAGTTGGGGAAGAGGAGAGAGATGTTAGCTCTGTGATAATTCAATCCTGCACTGCATGGACAGTGCAGGTTCCCAGGACCAGGCTCACAGGTACCATCAATTGAAAATTGGAATGGCAGACATTGGAACAATAAGGAACTGACATATAAACTGAAGAAATGCAGGTAGAATTTGACAGCTTTCTCCAATGTCCTACATATAAAAATGTCCAAACCTCCACTAGGTGAGCATTATCATAAATGTTTTCACGTGTTACCTCACCTTTTCACACTTTGTATTCTGAAAATAAATCTCAAAATTAATCTCAGAGAAAAAATTCAAAGTATTTGGGCAGAGGGACAGGGATTGAATAAATTGTTTACAACATGCATTTGGTCCACAATAAAATGTCTATTTTTCTTTCTTGTATAAAATGTACTTTTGCTGGGCATGGTGGTGCACACACCTGTAATCCCAGCTACTTGGGAGACTGAAACAAGAGGACCCAAAATTTGAAGCCAACCTGAGCAACACAGTAAGACACTGTCTCAAAATTTAAACGGGTGAGTGGAGTTTGCTGGGGATACAGCAGAGTGGTAGACAACTTGCCCAACATGCATGAGGTCCTGGGAGGGAAGGAAGGAGGGGGAGAGGGAGGGGGGAGAGGGAGGAAGGAAGA